GAGCTGTGATCATCATTCACTGATTATTTTTCTCCCTTTACAGCTGGAGCACTTGTGTGTCAAACTTGCACAAATCAGCAGTGTTCAAGCACGATACCACAAACATGTTCCTCAGAGACAATGTGTATAACAGCTTCCATTCAAGGTAGGTATTTCTTTATGTCATCTATTAACTTTCAGTAAAATACATGTACTGTAAAGTTATGTGTTCTTGCCGTCAACATTAAAAAATTGCACTTAAATTTTGTAGCTACTTCAGCTGGAACCCCAGGCCAGCAAATCTACAAGGCTTGTGCATCGTCCTCCCTGTGTCCAGCCACAGGCTCTCAGACATATTCAGCCAACTTGGGAGCTGCGAGTGCACTTGCATCTGCGACATGCTGCAACACAGATAACTGCAACTCACCTACTCTAGCATGTAAGTATATGGATAAGTCAATATAAAAGAATAAAGATATATTACTATGGATAAGTAATATAACTTTAAATGTTTTTTACTTCTCAAATTAATGATGTTGTTCTTTCATGTTTCAGTCCCTACTACTCCAGCAGATAACAGTCTACAGTGTTTCTCTTGTGACCCCGCCACCTCTCAATGCACCAACCTATTACAATGTAAGGGATCGGAGGACCGCTGCTTTCAAGCAACTGGTGAGTCTTTACTTTTTATTTTAAAGTTTGACTTCATATATGTTTTACTTCAAAGTATTTCAAATACAGTACTATACGTGAGATCTGGAAAATTAACGGGTAGACTTTACTTTTACTTTTTTCTCAAAAAAGTACTTCTTTCATGGAAGATTTGCATTTGTAAGAGTATTTCTACATTGTGGTATTGCTTACAAACAACAGCAATTTAGTTCTTTAAGTAAAATAGTGATTCGTCTCACAGTGACAGCTGAGTCCACAACATCTCCGGCCTTTGGCTGTGCATCTGCAAGCATGTGTGCAGCTGCTACCAGCCTGGGTAGCCTACCTTTCATGGAAAATGTTGGTACCATCAGCAGCGGACCTGCTTGTTGTGGGACCCGTTTCTGTAATACTGTCACAGCCCCAACGCCAACAACTGCTGCCCCAACAAAAACAACTGCAGCACCAACAGTGACTGCTGCCCCAACAACAACTGCCACCCCAACAACAACTGCTGTCCCAACAACTGCTGCCCCAACAACGACTGCTGCCCCAACAACAACCGCCACACCGACAACAACTGCTGCCCCAACAACAACAACTGCAGCCCCAACTACAATGACTGCTGCCCAAACAACAACTGCTGCCCCAACAACAACAACTCCAGCCCCAACGACGACTGTAGCCCCGACGTCAACAACTGCAGCCCAAACGACTGCTGCCCCAACAACAACTGCTGCCCCAACAACAACTGCAGCCCCAACGACTGCTGCCACAATAACGACTGCTGCCCCGACTACAACCACTGCTGCCGCATCCACAACAACTGCTGCCCCAACAACTGCTGCCCCAACAACAACCGCCACACCGACAACAACTGCTGCCCCAACAAAAACAACTGCATCCCCAACTACAACGACTGCTGCCCAAACAACAACTGCTGTCCCAACAACTGCTGCCCCAATAACGATTGCTGCCCCAAAAACAACCGCCACACCGACAACAACTGCTGCCCCAACAACAACAACTGCAGCCCCAACAACTGCTGCCCCAAAAACAACCGCCACACCGACAACGACTGCTGCCCCAACAACAACAACTGCAGCCCCAACTACAATGACTGCTGCCCAAACAACAACTGCTGCCCCAACAAAAACAACTCCGGCCCCAACGACGACTGCAGCCCCGACGACAACAACTGCAGCCCCAATGACTGCTGCCACAACAACAACTGCTGCCCCAACAACTGCTGCCCCAACAACAACCGCCACACCGACAACAACTGCTGCCCCAACAACAACAACTGCCACCCCAACAACTGTCGCACCTACAACTGCCGCCCCAACAACAACTGCCGCCCCGACAACTGTCGCACCAACTACAACAGCAGCCCCGACAACAACAACTGCCGCCCCAACAACAACTGCCGCCCCCACAACTGCCGCCCCCACAACTGCCGCCCCGACAACTGCCGCACCTATAACTGCCGCCCCGACAAGTGTTGCACCGACAAGTGTCGCACCTACAACTGTCGCCCCGACAACTGCCGCCCCGACAACTGCTGCACCAACAACAACTGCTGCCCCTACAACTGCCGCCCCCCGACAACTGTCGCCCCGACAACTGCCGCCCCGACAACTGCCGCACCTACAACTGCCGCCCCGACAACTCTCGCCCCGACAACCGCCGTCCCGACAACCGCCGTCCCGACAACCGTTGCACGGACAACCACCGTCCCGACAACCGTCGCCCCGACAACCGCCGCCCCGACAACCGCCGCCCCGACAACTGTCGCACCGACAACTGCCGCCCCGACAACTGTCACACCGACAACTGTCGCACCAACAACTGACGCACCAACTACAACAACTACCAGTGGTTCCTGCTCTATCAGACTGGGTATGATCCATCTGCTGCTCGGAATCCTTATCTTCCCCCTTTGGTAAAGTACCTTTGAAGCTACACTAAGAATTCTGAAATGACCTCTTGAAGCCTGAATTTGGGTTTACTTCCTATTGCTTTTTTATGGGGAAAGTTATAGGGACTAGAAAAAACAAATCTAAGGTAAGAGGGGGTGACGTCTGGGTGAAGCTGAGGTGGGACAAGCTGGCACCAGTGTAATAGACACAGAAGTGAACTTTTTTGTCCACTATTGTCTGGATAACAATTTAATTTTAATAAGAAATTAATAAGGGATATACCACAATTAACCATATGGTGAATAATAAGGGGACTTTGTAAAAGCTACAGATATCTTAAAATATAGATCTCTCTGGCCTATCAGGGTTGATTGACAGCAATGGCGTATGATATCATATAAAAATATAAATGTTCTGTAATTTAAGTATTTATGAAAATGCACTGCATTATTTCCTCACATATTAGGCATTCAAATAGATTATTCTCAATACAATTATATTTCATGTATTATCATTATTTATATACATTTGTCCTTTTTTGTTTGATTCATCAAATAAATATGTATTCTAGTAGTTTTATTTATTTTAATGATACTACAATTTAAATATTTATTTTATCACAGTGTATTTGTTTGTCACATATTGCACATATACATTTTATAATTATACTTTACATACATATCATTTACATTTTTTGTTTTCTCTTCTTGGTTCTCACAAATATATGTTAGTATATTATATATAGTAGTTTTACATAATTAGATGATATCTGCTGTACTGTACATATTATAACCTGCCTAATAAAGCTTTTCTGATGACAACAGTTCTGACGACAACATTTTGTGGCTCATTTGTTTTATCCATAAGGCTAAGAATGATGAATCAGTTACATGTTTTAAGGCACTTCTATACAAAACCTTACAGTTTTACAGTTTGTTTTTTCTACAGTTGGTTTCATGCAGTGGTGTAGCACAAAAACCGGGCCCGTTCCACTGTTCTTTAAGCCAAACCCCACGCTTCCTTTTCCAATAACAGTAGACTATTTCTGTCATAGATAATATGTGTTTTAGCAATAAAGTCGAAAACAGATTAAAACAAAAACAGAACATTCTGAAGCAGATAGCCAGCATGTGTGCACAGCTCTGGCCATGGTCAAAATCTCCTGGTCCAGTTAAACAATTTACTACTTAGCTCTTAAAAATCCAACCCAATCAGACTATTCAATTATGTTTCAGTAATATAGATGAAAATAATACTGATCAAAAGTAAAATGTAGCAAGTTGGAAGGAGCTTTATGCACAGCCATTGTATGGCATATTATTGTATTGACACAGAGCCGGTTCAGACGATGGCACAACGGTGGATCGGTGTGGACCTGAGCTTCATTTCCCAGGAGAAATATGTAGTAACACATTGTGGTCAGACAGGGTGCTGTGGGCTGTGGCCAAAAAATCAGTGCTGCTGATTGAGCTGACAGTGCCATGAGAAGAGGGGATGGAGGCAGCCCACTGAAGGAAGATGGCAAAGTACGGAGACTTGATCGTGGAGTGTAGGTATAGCATGAGGCTTTGTGGGAGGCTGAAGAACACACCTACTAAAAGGCCTACACTTGACAAAAAGGACCTCTACCCTGAAAGATCCAATGGTATACAGGTTTATGGATCTGTATATCATATCATACTATATAACATAAATAATACAATTAAATCCGTCAAACGTTCAGTCCGCAATCTTCTGCATGCAGACAGTATCTGTTTATATACAAATGTATCAACACCTTGGATCTAAATGTATTTTTTTGCATTTATTTCAGTGCTAAGGCTACAGGAACAGGGCTGAGCAAAGCCAATAGGGTATCCAAACAGGTGGAGAGGCCAAGCTTTAAGCTTTGGCTGAGAAGGTGGGTTAAGGCAGGGGGAGCTAGTAATTCCTGATGTAGGTTAGCCACGGGGGCTGTCAGGGAGACATCCCTGTTCACTGCCACACCAACCAAGAGATGTTCTGGCAAAAGGGGCCAAACATCCATGAATGGTGTTCCCCACCTGATGACTTTGCAGCTAACCAAATGGACACCAATATAGGTGCAGCAGGCCTAGAGCCGAGCAGGATTAACATGCACCAGTGCAAACCAAATTATAGTTATTGATACATTAAACCTTTTTAAGTTGTAGCTTCTCAAAGCAGCCATTTTAACTGCTTCAAACTTTTAGTAGGGCATTGTTATAAGGTATCTGTTATGTTTAGCAGATATTGGACCCAGAAGCAGACTCAGAGACAGAAGTAGTGATAATAAAAGGGAATTTATTTGACAAGGGCAGCAGGGAGCAATGGTGGAGGGAGACCGGGTGCATGGGTGGGTGAGTGTGGATTGGTGTAGATGGCATGAAGTTGCAGGCTGACAGCAATCAGGCAGGCAGTTGATCTAGCTCCTGGGGTACAAGGAGAACTGGGTTAGGCAGATGACAGAAGACAACCACCCCTCATGACAATGTTAGAACGAACCCATTGTTCATTGATGTGCCGGTCCACTCTGTGATACTGAGGAGAAAAAACACAAAGTTGACGTTATTTTAAAAACCTAAAAAAGTCTATATATATATTTAGTACATAGTGGTTTTTTTTTTATTTCCCTACTCTTACTGTTTATTTATACTGTTTTCTCTCTATCCACTTTGCTGCTGTTACACTGGAATTTCCCCATTGTGGGACAAATAATAATAATAAAAATCTATCTATCTATCTATCTATCTATCTATCTATCTATCTATCTATCTATCTATCTATCTATCTATCTATCTATCTATCTATCTATCTATCTATCTATCCATCCATCCATCCATCCATCCATCCATCCATCCATCCAACTCCCATTCACCTGTTTCCTCTTCATAATGGCTTGCCCTTTCTTGGAGGATGTACTGGATGAGGAAGCCCTAATCCTCAGACGAGCATTTTGCCATGAAAGAGTCTTCTGGGACAGGTCAGACCCATTGGCCGTTGGAGATGACTATCTCATTGAGAGATACAGATTCTCAGGTGATGGACTAAGATATTTGTGTAGGCTGCTGGGTCCAAAAATACAGCACCAGACAGCAGGAAGCCATGCTGTCACTGTACCACAGATGGTCTGTGTTACATTGAGGTGCAGACACCTAATCTATTCACCTCCTTTGTTCACTGTTATTTACTTTAAAGTCACTTACCAGCCTGCAAAATGTTCTTGTATTTAACTTTTTTAACATTTTTAATGTAACTTGCTGCCAGGTCTTTTTATGGCCAGACAAGTTTGTTCTTTATGAATTGTTTGCACTTAATCATACTCTACATTTAAGTAACATGCACCTCTACTTGCCACATTTAAAGCAGTTGCAGCAGTCGTTGTTGGGGCTGCAGTTGTTGTCGTTGGGGCCGCAGTTGTTGTTGTCGGTGTTGCAATTGTTGTTACAGTATTACATAAACTGGTCCCACAACAGGAAGGTCCGCTGCTGATGGTACCAACATTTTCCATGAAAGGTAGGCTACCCAGACTGGCAGCAGCTGCACACAGGTTTGCAGATGCACAGCTAAAGACTGGAGATGTTGTGGACCCATGTGTCACTATGAGAAGAATCACTATTTTACTTGATGAACCAATACCACAGTTTAAAAACACTCTTACAAATACACAAGTCTTCCATGAAAGAAGTACTTGAGTATTCTGAGAAAAATATCCTTAAAATGTCAAAAGTTACTTTCAGAATTATGCAGAATGGTCTCTTTCAGACTTTTTTTATCATTATATATATGTAGTAAAATGTAAAATATTTACCTCTGAAATGTAGTGGAGCAGAAGTAAAAGCACCACAAAATTGTACATAAGTTGAGTATATGTACTTCATTACTTTCCTCCACTCGTTGATTTTCCAGGTCTCACATGTAGGAATGTATTTGAAATACAATAAATAAGTAAAACATGTTTGGAATCAATCTTTAAAGTAAAGATAAAGACTCACCACTGTCCCTTACATTGTAATGGGCTGGTGCATTGAGAGGTGACAGGGTTACAAGTTAAACACTGTAGGCTGTTATCTGCTGGAGTAACAGGGACTGACCTCCTTAGGTTTTAGGTGCGTATATAGAAGAAACTGTATTTGTGTATAATTCAGTGCATAGAGTTTATGTTATCTAAATGCAATAACATTGAATTTGTACATGCTTTATCCATACCCTACATATTTATTAATTGAATGTGAGGGTATTTTATATCCTTACTGCCACTCTATACACAATCTCAACAGCCCCAAATCTGGGCCTTTCAAAATGTTTTGCTCCAAAAACATTATGTAATGCATACATATAATGCAGATCTCAGGTACTATAAATTATATATATGAGCCATAATATATATTTCTTCTTTCTGAGTTGCAGTTGTCTGTGTTGCAGATGGAAGTGCACTCAAAGCTGGATGTTGATACTACACTTTATCAGCGCCACGGCACATTTGTAGTGTACAGGGGGTGTTGAGTACATTCATGGCAGATCCATGTGTAAAAACCTCAGTGATTGGGAGTGAATAAATAGTGACTAAAAATTGAGTTAGATGAGGAGTTGCCGACACACACACCTCATAAGGCATGCAGAGAGATATAGTCTTTTGAAAGTAACTGAAATTTAATTTATTTATATGCACACTCCCATAGACTTTTCCAAAAAAAGGATCCAACACACACTTTCAATTAATTTCCTGGAAAGCACTGTGGTTGGAAAACTGTTGATGCCCTAGTGACGCACAATCCAGAGGGAGCAGGTAAGTGAACAATCTCAGTGTCCTTAAGATTAGACAATTAGGCGCTTAGTAGACAAAATTATCAAATTACTTCTTATTTTTCATAAATCAGAATATCAACAAATAACTCAACATCCCTCATACAGAAATCATTCATTTCTTTAAATTCAAAAATGTTCAATCTGGCTCCAACAGGCTTGTTTTGTTTTATGCATCAGTGAACCCATTACGAAAGAAGTCAGGAATTTCCTTGACGCAAAAAGCATGAATTATATCATTGAGTTACAATTTGTTCTGACAATGAGGAAACTGTCTGGCATGCCCTTACCCACACCTTGTTATCACGTAACCTTTTTACATGTCCTTGTGTTTCATAATCTAGAATGTAAAATGAAACTGGCAACACATCTGTACACTCCATTCAATGATAACGTTGATTATATCGACTTTTTGCTTTTATATCTTGGGTTTACTCCTTCATTTCCTAGGCAGAGGCAGGGGGTGTCTTCTGAGCCTCCAGCCCTGAATGTTTTCTCAAGATCCCTGAATCTTTTAGGTTGTTAAAATAACTTCAGCTCTCCGCCCTTCCATTGTCATGTGTCCTGATAGGCGAGAGAGGTCTTTATTTTTAGATAACTGCTTGTTGTTGTAATTGTGGCTGATTGAGTTGCTGGGACGGAGGTTGTAATTGCAGTTGTAAGGGCAGCAGTTGTTGTTGGGGCGGCGGCAGTTGTTGTTGTTGGGGTGGCAGTTGATGTTGTTGTTGTTGGTGTGGCAGTTGGGGTTGTTGGGGCGCCGGTTGTGATAGTAGTCTGGGTGGCAGCGGTTGTTGTTGTTGTTGGGGCTTCAGTTGTTGTTGTTTGTATGGCAGTTGTTGTTGTTGTTGGGGCGGCTTTTTTGTTTTAATTAGGGAATGGAAAGAGCGTGCACAATCAACTGCCAAAGAAATTGCTGCCAAAAAAACTCTGCAATGTCAGATTGGGTGTTGACTGTTTTTGGACACAAACCAGCAGGCCTGGGGATGCAGAAAAAACGATGAAGAAACTGTATGTGTGTATAATTCAGTGCATACAGTTTATGTTATCTAAATGCAATAACATTGAACTTGTACATGCTTGATCCAAAGACTACCCTACATATTTATGAATTCAATGTGAGGGTATTTTATATCCTTACTTTTTGCTTTTATATCTTGGGTTTACGCCTTCATTTCCTATGCAGAGGCAGGGCAGGGGGTGGCTTCTGAGCCTCCAGCCCCAAATGTTTAAGTCAAAATCCCTGAATCTTTTAGGTTGTTAAAATAACTTCAACTCTCTGCCCTTACATTGTCATGTGTCCTGATAGGCGAGAGAGGTCTTTATTTTTAGATAACAGCAGCTCTGACAAAGTCTTGTTGTGGTTTAATTTTTCTCGTCTCAATGCACCTCAATCGATGTCTATCTGACTTAAACTTTTAGCTATCTGACTATAGTGAGAGACCACAAACTCCCACTGAAGGTACCCAGAATGGTGACACAGACTCACAGAAATCAAAGAGAATTGACAGTTTCACTCCATGTGCAAGATTTATTTGCATCAACACAGGATACAAGCAAACCGAGTTGTCTCGAGAATATACTGACTCGAACAAAGAAAATCCCTCCATTATATGCCTCTTTCCCAAAGAATGTCTATTGGTGATGTCCAATATCTGATAAACAGTAGTCATAACATATCTGATGCCCTACTCTACCCAAGACAGCCTTGGTCTTTGGAATGTGCTTAGCTCATGGCACACTGAATAACCCTTTTTCTAACTAGTGTGAGACAACCAGAGTGTGAATACATGACAAAACCTTATCCCTGAATGCATTTTCCCACTATTCAATTCAATTCAATTCAATTTTATTTGTATAGCGCCAATTCATAACAGAAGTTATCTCAGGACACTTTTCAAATAGAGCAGGTCTAGACCGAACTCTTTAACATTAATTACAGAGACCCAACAGTACCACCATGAGCAAGCACTTGGCGACAAGGGCAAGGAAAAACTGCCTGTTAAAAGGCAGAAACCTAGGACAGATCCTCCGGCTCTAGGTGGGTGGTCGTCTGTCTCGACCAGTTGGGGTGAGAGAGAGAGAGAGAGAGAGAGAGAGAGAGAGAGAGAGAGAGAGAGAGAGAGAGAGAGAGAGAGAGAGAGACAGACAGACAGACAGACAGACAGACAGACAGACAGACAGACAGACAGACAGACAGGTGCACAGCAACAACAGTATTGGCAATGGCAGTCAAGCAGGACCATGACAGGAGGCTCCACCAGGATCCATGAGAACCTTCGAGACGAGAAAGCACAAGAACTCCGGGGAAGAAGTGGAGTTAGTAACATGCATTAATGGGACATGAATGAGTGCATAAAGAGAGAGGAAGAGAGGAGCTCAGTGCACCATGGAAAATTCCCCGATAGTCTAGGCCTATAGCAGCATAACTAAGGGATGGTTCAGGACTCACCTGATCCAGCCCTAACTATAAGCTTTATCAAAGAGGAATGTCTTAAGCCTACTCTTGAATGTGGTGAGGGTGTCTGCCTCCCGAACCACAACTGGAAGCTGGTTCCACAGGAGAGGAGCTTGGTAACTGAAGGCTCTGGCTCCTGTTCTACTTTTAGAGACTATAGGAACCACAAGTAGCCCAGCATTCAGAGAACGTAGTGTTCTAGTGGGGTAATAGGGTACTATGAGCTCTTTAAGATATGAAGGGGCCTGACCATGAAGAGCTTTATAGGTGAGGAGGAGGATTTTAAATTCAATTCTACATTTTACAGGGAGCCAATGCAGAGTAGCTAGTACAGGAGAGATGTGATCTCTTTTTCTAGTTCCTGTCAGTACTCGTGCTGCAGCGTTCTGAATTAATTGGAGCGTTTTAATGGACTTATTGGGGCAACCTGATAATAAAGAGTTGCAGTAATCCAGCCTTGAATACAATCCCTTTATTATTCAACACAAGGTTAATTGTGATTTATCCCTTATACAATGTACAATGTGACATTGTTTTCCCGATCATAGTGGACAAAAACGTTCAATTGTGTGTTCAATTGCTGCAAACTTGTCCCACCTCAGCTACACCCAGACTCCATCCCCTCTTTTCCTACATTTTGGTCTTTTTTAGCCCCGGTAACTGCTAACTAAAGATGGCAATGGGCAGTAAACCCAAGTCCAGGCTTCAAAGGGTCATTTCAGAGTCCTTATGGTAGCTTTAAAGGTATGTTATCCAATATTTTTCTTAACAGAGGATAAAGGAAATAAAGAGTCCGAGCTGCAGATGACTCATACCCAGTCTGATTGTAATTGTGGCTGATTGAGTTGCTGGGATGGAGGTTGTATTTGCAGTTGTAAGGGCAGCAGTGGTTGTGGAAGTTGGGGTTGCTGGGGCGCTGGTTGTTATAGTAGTCTTGGCGGCGGCGGTTGTTGTTGTTGGGGAAGAAGTTGTTGTTGTCTGGGCAGCGGTAGTTGTTTGTGCGGCGGTTATTGTTGTTGTTGTTGGGGTGGCAGTTTTTATTGGGGTGGCAGTTGTTTTTATTGGGGTGGCAGTTGTTGTTGTTGGGGTAGCAGTTGTTGTTGTTGGGGTAGCAGTTGTTGTTGTTGTGGTTATTGTTGGGGTGGCAGTTGTAGTTGTTGGGGCAGCAGTTGCTGTTGTTGTTGTGGTTGTTGGGGCCGCAGTTGTTGTTGTTGGTGTGGCAGTTGTTGTTGTTGGTGGTGTGGCAGTTGGGGTTGTTCAGGAAACAGTGGTTGTTGGGGCTGCAGTTGTTGTTGTCGGTGTGGCGGTTGTTGTTGGTGCTGCAGTCGTTGTAGTTAGGGCAGCAGTTGTTATTGGGGCAGCAGTTGTTGTTGCGGCAGCAGTTGTTGTTGGGGCAGCAGTCGTTGTTGGGGCTGCAGTTGTTGTTGTTGTTGGGGCTGCAGTCGTTGTTGGGGCTGCAGTTGTTGTTGTTGTTGGGGCAGCAGTCGTTGTTGTTGTTGGGGCAACAGTCGTTGTTGTTGTTGGGGCAACAGTCGTTGTTGGGGCAGCAGTCGTTGTTGGGGCTGCAGTTGTTGTTGGGGCTGCAATTGTTGTTGGGGTGGCAGTGGTTGTTGTTGCAACAGTTGTTGTTGTTGGTGCTGAACAAGTTGTTGTTGGGGCAGCAGTTGTTGGCGTTGGGGCTGTGACAGTATTACAGAAACTGGTCCCACAACAAGAAGGTCCGCTGCTAATGTGACCAACATTTTCCATGAAAGGTAGGCTACCCAGGCTGGTAGCAGCTGCTCACAGGTTTGCAGATGCACAGCCAAAAGCTGGAGAACTGCTGGACCCCACTGTAAGAAAAATCACTGTTTTATTCGACCAACTAAATTGCTGTTGTTTGTAAGCAATACCACAGCGTAAAAATACTTACAAATGCAAGTCTTCCATGAAAGAAGTACTTGAGAATTTTAAATAATAAAAGTAAAGTCTACCCGTTTATTTTCCAGATCTCACGTATAGTACTGTATTTGAAATACTTTGAAGTAAAACAGATACAAAGTCAAACTTTAAAATAAAAAATAAAGACTCACCAGTCGCTTGAAAGCAGCGGTCCTCCAATCCCTTACATTGTAATAGGCTGGTGCATTGAGAGGTGGCGGGGTCACAAGAGAAACACTGTAGGCTGTTATCTGCTGGAGTAGCAGGGACTGAAACATGAAAGAACAACATCATTAATTTGAGAAGTAAAAAACATTTAAAGTTATATTACTTATCCATAGTAATATATCTTTATTCTTTTATATTGACTTATCCATATACTTACATGGTAGAGTAGCTGAGTTGCAGTTATCTGTGTTGCAGCATGTCGCAGATGCAAGTGCACTCGCAGCTCCCAAGTTGGCTGAATATGTCTGAGAGCCTGCGGCTGGACACAGGGAGGACGATGCACAAGCCTTGAAGATTTGCTGGCCTGGGGTTCCAGCTGAAGTAGCTACAAAATTTAAGTGCAATTTGTTAATGTTGACGGCAAGAACACATAACTTTACAGTACATGTATTTCACTGAAAGTTAATAGATGACATAAAGAAATACCTACCTCGAATGGAAGCTGTTATACACATTGTCTCTGAGGAACACGTTAGTGGTGCCGTGCTTGAACACTCCTGATTTTTGCAAGTTTGACACACAAGTGCCAGCTATAAAGGGAAGAAAAATAATCAGTGAATGATGATCACAGGTCAAAAGTCATATGAAATGTCTAAGGTGTTTTGGTGGTTTGTAAAAGCGGAAAACTCTTATTATTATTATTGTTATACAAAAGGATCACAAAGGTTGTAAAAATATCTCATATGCACTATATCGTTCTAATAAATTGTCTTTATCTGCTTTCTACCCTTTCTGCTGTATTTTGAATTTGAGTCTTATCTACAATATATGAATCTTGTTTTGTTTAATTAAAATAAATCATCTGATGATATTTCGTGTCAGATTTAAATTCCTTTCTAAAATCAGTTATGGTAAAATGAGAAACTTCTTTAAATAGTGCTCTCTAGTAACAGCAGAAACTGTAAAGTAAGAATAAATGGGGTTACCTGTGCTGGAGATCAGATTCAGAGAAAGGATCAGCTTCATCATGATGAACAGGTAAATAGTGTAGATTAGTTTTTCTCGATGGTGATACTACACTTTATCAGTGCTGCAGCACTTTATACACTGTGTGCACAATTATTAGGCAAGTTGTATTTTTGAGGATTAATTTTATTATTGAACAACTACAGTGCTCTCGGTCAATCCAAAATGTTAATGAACCTAAACCTGAATGTTTGAGAAAGTAAAAGTGAGGTTTTGTCTTTCTTAAGAGAATATATATATATATATATATATATATATATATATATATATATATACACATACATACATACATACAGTCAGGACCACTTTTGTCAAAATATCTTATATTCCAAGCAGAATTACATTTGGCGGTATGGCTCTGTTCTGGGACCTCCTTGTCCTTCCGCGTGCCTACGTGGAAAACCTTAAGGCAGGGAGAGCACACCTCCCTGCCCTTCCATGTGCATACATGGAAAAGTTTAAGACAAGGAGAGCGGCAGCAGAGACCCCAGGGTACAGAACAGAGCAGCATCAATGGCAATCAGAAAATTACATTGATTAATTAGAAACAACATAAAAAGGAGGAGCTGGGGTGGAGGTGGGTGCAAAAGGCTTGTAGAGGGAGCAGCAGAGATAGGCAGGCAGGCTAAAGCAGCTTAAATAAGGCGCCATGCATGATGTTTGCCAATTGGATGCTTGAGGAAATCAGGTGAGCTGTCAGCTGACTGTGTATGGTATCCAATGGGAAGCTTAGAGGAATCAGCTGATGTATGTTTATGACTAGCTGTGCTCGTATGATATAGCTGTAACTGAAAGCTAAGCCTGACTTTGTGCCCTGCCTGAACTAACGCTATGCTCAATATATATATATATATATGCACAGTTATTAGGCAACTATTAGTGTGCAGAAATTTTTATGCAACTAAATGAAAAAACGAACATTTTCCCATCGTACTTGTTTATTTTCATCTTTTAAAGTGAGAATAATAAAACAACTCAAAATTTACAAATAAACATTTCTGTCATGTCAAAAAAAAATAAAATCAGTGATCTGTAACTGTCACAAGCCTCCCATTCATGGAGTCTGTTAGTTTATTGATCTGTTGACGATCAACTTTTTGTGCAGCAGCAGCCACAGCCTCCCAGACACTGTTCAGAGAGGTGTACTGTCTTCCTTCACTGTAAACCTCCCGTTTAAGCAGGGCTCACAGGTTCTCAATAGGGTTTAGGTCAGGTGAGGAAGGGGGCCATGTCATTATTTTTTCATCCTTAAGGCCTTTACTGGCTAGCCATGCAGTGGAGCACTTAGATGCATGCGATGGAGCATTGTCCTGCATAAAAATCATGGTCTTCTTGAAAGATGCAGACTTTTTCCTGTACCACTGCTTGAAGAAAGTGTCTTCTAAAAACTGGAAGTAGGTTTGATTTTGAGGCCATCTTCAACCCGAAAAGGTCCAACTAGCTCATCTTTAATAATACACGGGCCCATCCATCTGGTCCATCAAGAGTCACTCTCATCTCATCAGTCCATAAAACCTTTGAAAAATCTGTCTTCAGATATTTCTTGGCCCAGTCTTGATGTTTCAACTTATGTGTTTTGTTCAGTGGTGGTCGGGTTTCAGCCTTCCTTACCTTGGCCATGTCTCTAAGCACTGAACACCTTGTACTTCTGGGCACTCCGGGTAGGTTGCAGTTCTGGAATATGGCAGCACTGGAGGATAATGGGTTCCTGGTAGCTTCACGTTTGATTCTTCTCAAATCTTTGGCAGTTGATTTGCGTCTTTTTTTCTCAATACGTTTCTTGTGACCCTGTTGGCTATTTGCAACAAAACGTTTGATGGTTCTGTGGTCACGCCCCAATATCTTAGCAATTTCAAGAGTGCTGCATCCCTCTGAAAGACTTTTTACAATTTCTGAGAGAGTTTTCAGTGTCCGTTAAATCTCTTTTTTGGCCCATTTTGCCTGAGGAAGAGAAGTTGTCTAATAATTATGCACACCTTGATATATAGTGTTGATCTCCTTAGGCCACACCCTCACTCATTACGCAAATACACATCACCTGGTATGCTTAAATCCAATAAGCACTCAAGTTTATACAGCTTGAAGTTGGAAAATATGCATAGAAAATTATGATATGGCCAAAATACTCACTTGCCTAATAATTGTGCACACAGTGTATACTGAACAGGTGTTGAACACATTTATGACAGATGCCTGTGTAAAAGCCTCAGGGATTGGGTGTGTTCCCATTTTTACTGTGTGACTATTTATTTAGACATTCTTAGTTTTGAAAACATTTCTGACAGATGTATGCGGAAAAAAACTCTGGGATTGGATGTGTTCCCATTTTTACAGTGTGACTGTCATATGCATCATCTTTTGTCAACTGGAAAACACCTTCCCACACAAGTTTTAATTTATCAATTGTTATTATTATCAAATACAAATAATTGATACATTGAAGTGAGAAAGATTTCTCTTTTCATTCTCTTTGATACTTTTTTCCGTGCTGTGCTCTCTGAAAATGTTGTATAGATTTTTAGTTCATGTGATTCAATCATCTAGTTCTGTAGTTATTAACATATCTTAATGTCAGACATTGAATGCCTAACTATATCTTGATAAAAGTCAGTGTTTTCAATAAAACAAAACAAATGCATTTCATCAGCCAAAGTATGATACAGATAATCAGAATTGGAAAGTGAGGTTTTCTTCTTTAACTTCATTTTTGGATTATTATATGATATAATTTGGGTGACCTTTGATGATTCTTACATAATCTAATACATTTTTCAGAAACCTTGGAGACCAGGACCACATCTGTTGCATCTGTACCATGTTTTGTTTTCCAACATTCAACCATTGCTGCTGATCTGTCAGTAGGATACAGCATCATTATGGGGGGGGTCCAAACGGCTCTAAGAATCAGAATCAACAGGAATTTAGTTTTAAAAAAAAGACCAAAGTCCACCAGGAAAGAGTAAGATAAATGCAAAGGCAGAGACAGCAACAGTACACACCAGCAAATGTTTAATTCATATCTTTGTTGTTGTATTCGATGCATCAGTGAACTCATGACAAAAGAAAAAAGATAAGACAAGATTTTTCTTGATACAAAAGCCATTGATCATGTCACCTACTTCGCATGTGCTTTCGTTTTTCATTATGCTGGAATGTTGTGAAACTGGAAACCACCTGTACACTCCGTAAATGATGATATGAATAGCCTTTGATAGTGTCTAAAAGGGCATTAACGTTGCTAATAGCATTTTTCTCTTATACTTTCTCTTATATATGAGAAAATATTAGTTAAGAGAATGTTGCTTTATGCATTTTTGTTACCTTAGAATGAGACGTTTTTATCTACAGAGGGAGCGGGTCCTCTTGTATGTTTCCACAAACAAAACACTGGCACTAGATAGATTTATTATTTTCTCCTACATGCTTGGAATGTAAGGGATTATTCAGCTGCTTGCAATCTGCAATTTCACCCCAACAACTATTGAGATACTACATTAAAGTCACCAGAGAACAAAAGGTCCAACAAATTTTTTTAAAGTGTATTATATTTGTACAATTTGCAAAAAAACATTGAATCCAGTTAAAATACACACAGTAAGAAAAATCAAATCAAATTAAAGCTGTGAAAAAGTTCATGCATCTTAGTGCCTGACAATAGACATTTTTCACAGCAGCCATTTTTACATGAAATAGTAGGGTAAACACGTGTGTTGCCATTGATACTAATTAAGGTTCCATTTAGTGCAGCAGAACCTTTCCAGTGACAACATGCACAATAGCAGCAACCTGACTCTGTTTAATCTGAACAGAACCTTAATTAGTATCATTGGTAACACCTGTGTTTACCCTACTATTTCATGTCAAAATGACTGCTGTGAAAAAAGTCTACTGCATTGCTGCTTAATTATCCCACTTAAGATTCACCCAAAAACCCCCTTTTCCCTAAATGTGATTTTTCTAGCCCCTGTAACTCCCAGCTAAAGATGTCAGTGAGCAATAAACCCAACTACAGGCTTCAAAAGAACTCATTCTGCTGGCTTCAAAGGTGCTTCCTCCATTTTGTCGGTGTTCTAAAAGAGGGTTAAGATAAGGAGTCCGAGCATCAGAAGGATCATAGCCAGTCTGATACGGCAGGCGTCGCTTGTTGTTGTTGTTGTAACAGTATTACACAATGAGGTGTTACAACAGGATGGTCCACTGCTGGTGAAGTCACCAATACCTTGTACAAAAGGTAGGTTACCCAGGCTGGCAGCAGCTGTACACAGGTTTGAAGATGCACAGCCAAAGACTGGAGAAGTGCTGGACCCATTTATCACTGTAGATAAAAAATCACTGTTTTACTACACAAACTACATTTTCTGGGGGTTTTTGTCAAGCAATAAGTAGAGGGGGTGGGTGGTAAAGAGAGGACAGAGAGACAAACACTGGCTACAGAAAGGGCTTTTCATGTTTTGTAGTCGCCTTAGTTTCTCCTTCACGCTTGGATGGCGAGTGTTTATTCAGTTGGTTGCAATCTGCAATTTCACCGCTAGATGCCACTAAATCCTACACACTGGTCCTTTGAGTAAAAGTAGCAATACCACAATGTACAAATACTCCATTACAAGAAGGGTTCAAGTTTAATGTTTATTTGTCTTGCCCCTGGCGTTTAAAGGCCTCAATTGTGTATACAGGCCTTTAAAAGTATAAAGTAACATGTAATGTAAGTGAATGTACTTCATAATTGTGCTCAAGTTTAGTACTTGAGTAATTGTACTTCATTACTTTCCTCCATTTCCTAGGAATTTGTTTAAAACACTTTGAGGAAGTAAAACTTATTTGAAGACAAACTTTATTCAAATAAAGACTCACCACTTGCTTGAAAGCAGCGGTCCTCCTCTCCCTTACATACTACTGGGGTGGTGCATTGAGAGGTGCCGGGGTTACAAGTGTAACACACCATGTTGTTAGTTGTCTGTGCCACTGGGACTGAAACAGAAAAGAACAACATCATTAATTTGAGGAAGTGAAAACAATAAAGTTTAAAATTGAAAAAAGATCATGTCAAAATATGGCAGTGTTCTTCTCTTCTCATCTTAAATGAGTCACTTGTGTAGTGTGTACTTACAAGCTGGAGTTGTTTCGTTGTTGCAGTTATCCGTGTTGCAGCACTGAACAGATGCAACTCCATTCACAAAACCTAAGCTGGCTGAAATATTTTGAGAGCCTGTGGCCGGACACAGGGAGGGCGGTGCACAAGCCTTCAAGATTTGCTGGACTGCGTTTCCAAATAAAGTGGCTACAAAATCAAAATACAGTTAATGTTGTTGTTAATGTTGATGAAGAGAACACATAACTTTGCAGGAAATGTATTTCACTGAAAAGCAATAGATGAAATGACTACCTTGAATGGAAACTGATAGACACAACTCTGTCGCTGTGAAACATTTAAATGATACCAGTCTTGAACACAGCTCATCTATGCAAGTTTGACACTGAAGTGCTCCAGCTGCAGAGGAGAGACAAACAGTTGATAAAATTATCTCACATCAGATGTCAAATCAAATGTCTGAGGTGGTCAGGGTTACAGGGTTTTTGTGGTCTATAAAGGTTGGAAGTTATTGTTGGAAAAGCATTGCAAAAAACACAAGGGTTGTAATGTGTCTAAAATGCAGCAGACATACATATTTGCACGCTTCCTCCACAATGCTCAAGTATATTATTATTTTTAAATAGTCTTCAATCCCATTTCATGAAAAATTTGTAAGCAAATCCTATCTGAATCCAGTATCGTAAATTGTATTGAATTGTGAGTTGAGTAAGTGTATCATTATATATCCCTACTAAGTATTATAATTTATGAAATGTATTAATGTTCTTTACTTATGTTTTAGAAGGTTTTTGTCTGCTTATATTATATATTAAAATCCTTTCTTAAAATAGTTTTGGTATAAGATTTCTTGAGTTTCTCCAAATGTCCTCTCCACAGAAGTGGAGTTACCTGTGCTGGAGAGCGCCCAGATGAGAGTCAGAGAAAGGATCAGCTTCATCATGATGAACAGGTAAATGCTGTAGATGAGTTTTGCTGCATGGTGATACTACACTTCGTGCAGCTCTTTATATACTGTACAGGTGTTGCAGGCGTAAAAACCTCAAGGATCAGGTGTGTTCCCATGTTAATAGCGTGACCATTCAGAGACTCACCTTATCTTCTGTTACTAGAAAAATATGTCAACACACATTCCCACACCCTTTATAAAAATTTAAGCAATGCTTTCTTTTAAGATTGTGCACGCTTTCTATTCCTAAACATAATAAATAATAAAACATTGAATGCCTGTCACATCCTGAGTGTAAAAAAACACCACTGACAACAATGGAAATAAGTCAGCCACCGACAAAGTCTGATATGTTTTTATGTATATATATATTAGAATGTTCTCAATGAAAAAAATACAATTCATTTTATCATCAAAAGTGTTGTATAAAAATGCCTATTGTGCATTTTCACTGTATAAAAATTCATTCTAGAGATTTTCTTCTTTAACCTAATTTATGGAATATTATCAAAATATAATTTGGGTGACTTTTGATCATTCTTACTTAATCTAATAGAATTTTCAGAAACCTTGGAGAGCAGGACCGCATCTGTTACGTGTACATCTGTATTGTTTTCCATCATTCATCCATTGCTGCTGATCAGTATGTAAGATATGGCATCAATTTAGGGTGACATCAAAAGATGAAGACTGCAGATTATACATTCCATAGTAGAGCTGATAAACATAAACTATGTAAGCCACACTGAAAAACAACATTACATTCCTGGGCTGATTCACAGCCTCGCACAAGCAAAATGACTAAAACAATGTACAAATACAACAGACTTAGTATAGAAGGCATTGCTTTCTGTTTTAAATTTTGATAACTAAAACAGGGTTTGTGAATTTTTTCCCCTAGGATGGCAAAGTCATGACCCGCTCTGACTGGCTAACCCTGATATTCTTCCTGTTACCCTAACCAATCTTACTCCTCATACCTAAACCTAATCCTAACCAACCCAAACCAGTGAACTAGTGACGCAGACATCCGATACGCAGTGTGACCACTCTAATCTGTTAACATGGGCGCCAAAATAAAAAAAACATTCCGCCATCAAAACATTGTGAACAAGCTGTCATTCGTGCTTGCTTTGCTACCACTGATGAACACATTGATAAACCACATGATGGCACACAATAGCAACAGAGTACACTTCTCATCAGACCATTCCTCGAAACCTGCCACTCACTCAGAAAAAAACAAACAAGATCTGATAAGCAATTTCAGGTGATGTCCAGCATCAAATAGACTTTCTTCCTGAACAGCACCCCTACCAGACAACTTTTCATTGCTTTTTAGCTTCAATTAAGTTCCAAACTCTGATAATGTCTTTGTTTCACCTTTTCAATTGCAACTGTTATTACTTTAACATTTTATTGTGTCTAAATTTAAAGGACCAGTGTGTAGGATTAAGTGGCATCTAGACGTTTAGTTGCAGATTGCAATGCCCTCACCTCACCCTCCCGTTCCAAGTGTATAGTAGAAACTACAGTGGCCACAAAAACCTCTGTAGATAAAAACAGCTAATGTTAACGTCACGAAACAACATTTTGTTTTCATTATACACTAATGAAATCATACCTAAGAAAATAATATTCAACTTATGCCAATAGATACACTGGACACTAGATACAATAGAACACTGGACCTTGTTAAGTGTTAACAACTCTTTTTGTTGGTCAAACGTTGGAGCCTTAGAAGAGAAAACCCATCCTGTTTACCCACATCTTCAACAGACAAAATTTTGTCTTCCACCAGTTTACGTTTTAGGAAAGTCTTTATATTTTGTTTCAAATGTTTATATGTCACCTCAATATCAAAGCACATAGCAATCTTCAGTAATTGGCCCTTCCTACTGATCCAATAACTAAAGGAGGTAAAATCCTCCATAACAGATCCTGTAATACCCCAACTTACCACACTAAATACTACCTAGCTCAACCCTAGGCTTTGAGTGGTTGATTGTGGGGGTACTTTTACACTCTAAATCAGTGGGGTGGGAAGACAACTGGTTATACCAGCGGAATAGAACTCCAAAAAATGAACTACCAGGGACTGACCAAGCTCTCTCTCCACCAATTAAGACACAAAACAAATACCTGTGTGAACCTCCCACAACAATGTACACTAGTGAAATAATTTCACAATCAAATGTGGCATGTTACTTACTAGGAAAGTCACAAATCAACTGCCACTACTATCAACTATAGGCAAAAAAAGTTTTTTAGTCAAGCCCCAATTTTGTCACAACCCAGCTCAAAGTCCAGACAAAACAAGGGAGACCACAAAGATAAGATAAGATTATTATAAAACTAATTTATTTAACCAATACTGAAGTATAAAAAAATACAGTTAAACACAAAAATCTGTATTATCAGTGGTGTGATGAGTGCATTGATGTGGACAAGTATAGTGCAGGCAAAGTGTTTTGTTGAAATGCAAATGTAAGAGAACCCAAAACACAAGCAGATAAAACCCTGCCAGCTGGGGGGAGAGAGAGGTATAACTGGCATATCCAGTCCTCTTAACAATCAGAAGGAGCAATCAGAGTTGATTCAGGTGTGGCTCATGCTCTTCAAAAACGTTACCACTCCCACTGCCTCCATCACAAGAACAGGAAGAACACACACCAGGAACTATCAACTTAAAAAAAAACATATATGGCACCAAACCACTGTGCTGGAGCTGTCAAAGTGCTTCACTTTGCCAATCAATCAATCAGACTTTATTTATATAGCACTTCTCACACAATAAAAATGTAAGTGAAAGTGCTTTACACATTAAAAATCCCAAATTGATAAACAGTGTTGGCTTCTTGCAATGTAGGATTTTTATTTATTTTGATCACTCTGATTAAATACTACTATTAATTTTCCTCATGCAGATCAGGCTGAAGAGCAGCAAATGTGTGATGATGATGTTCTGAACCGAAAAGCGCTGCAAACTCAGAATAAAAAAAAACAGTGTCGTGAAAAAATGCCTGGTCACCACATTCATTTCCCACTTCTCAGTGCCTGCACAAATAACAATAACCCTCCCTGTTGTATGTACACATGAATACATATAATGAGTTATAATGACATGGGTGATCAGACTGAGTAGACCATGTTTAATGACTTCACATGTTTGATAACATAGAGTAAGCATTTTGTCTGTTCAGTGAACGATTTACTATTTTGTGTATAAGTCTTAGATAATTGATAAGTAAAACTAAACTTTTTGAAAAAATATTAGTTAACTTGAATCCCAAACTGCATTTTGGTTCCTGTTCTTGACTGAATATTGTCAGATATTTGATTGATATTATGGAACCCTTTAAACAGATCAGGTTGAAAAGGGGAAATTGTAATGATACATATTTGCATGATACAGGTCATGTTACTTAACTAAAACTGTGCAAGTGTTGTTCTGTTCTGTTCGTTTTCCAGATCAAGGCTACTTGTTCTCACTTCCACAGATTTAGTACTTTTAACATTTGTATTGCAAATTCATTAATGTTTGCTCAGATCCAAACTAACATGTTGAATGTTATGACGCGTCTAGTGGCGGCGGCTGAGGTTAAAGGCTAAAGAGGCGGGGCCAATACGTCATCGTTTCAGAAAAAAATCCGTTATCGCCGTCCCGACGACTCCTGACAATCTGGCGTTTTCGAATTTTCCCACTCTGGGACCCGTTTTAAAAAAATACCGTTTTCACACCCCGAAAACGCCGTATCCGTCTGGACCCGAGGCCGATACGACAAAGTATTTATCCGGATTCGAGAAAAACGTATTTGTGAGGACATGCCCTGTGTTGAATGCTGAGACTGTAACCCTACAAGATAAAAAATACCAAAACTCATAAATGCACCATGTTAATATAGTAAATGTATTACATATAGCAGCTTAACTCGCAGTCTGTCACCTCTGCTGGCTCTGACAAACTGTCTTGGACCATAATTCCAAACTCGAGGCTTCAAAACGGTGCTCCACAAACCATCACAATAGGCTCAAACTTGAGATACGCAAGTCAGCTGACCGATCATTTTATTCACTGCTACAGATACCTGATTTTATTTCATTTATTTATTTCAGTCGAGATGTAAAGAGAATTTCAACAAATATAACAAAAATGCTTCTGAAATACATTACCTATACTAAGATATATATCAGGTTATGGTGCACAGTGCCTGCGTCATTAAATCAAAAGGAAACCATAAGTAAGTAGTTTCTGATTTGCATTTACGTGCAAACAACGTTCACGCTTTCAGAAATACAGGTTTTTGGACAATGAGTCACAGATGTCTTGTTTTGGATCTGACGGCTCAATTTGCATTTCACATCAGATAATGTTTATGCAGAGACAGTCTGGCATTAACCTGGTATACTTTTGGTTTCTGATGATACCATGGTGCACATAAAAAGCTGTATTATTTCCCAAGCTGTAATATAAGTCATTCATGCAATTAAACTTGCATTGGTACACAGCAACAACATGAAGTGAAATAGTGCTGGTGCATGGGCAACCACTCTTAGCCCTCAAATAAGAAAAAAAGGGAAGAGGTGCAACAGAAAAAGTGTTACATTATGGTTCCTCTCTATGAACAATTTCTATGTTGTGCATGTATGGAAGAAGAAGAGACTTTTCCCTTAAATGACAAGTTTTTAGTTTAAATCAACAGTACAGAATGAGCTGGGGAAACATTTCACAACAAATTTCTTTGTAAAGATTTTTTGTAAAAAATAAAGTGAGTTTACAATAATTGCTGAGACTATATTGTTATAAGACATTGTACACATCACCTATGGCAACCTTCAAAGCCACAACCAACATATTTCCACAGAACAGAAGGGCACAAGGCCTCTCTCTCCCTATTTGCCATATTCATTCAAATGAAAATGAAATCTATCCAGGATTTCTTTCCAAGCAGGTTATGTTTTGTATATTTCACTGTATGAACACCAGTAAGTACAATCAATGACGAGTCTTATTGCCATGTCTCCATCTGATAACCACACTGTCTTGTCTAGTCAACACCGACTCCATTATGTCAACATCAAAAGTCAACTTATGCAAAACTATGAGGAAAAATAGCCACAGTAAAATAAGCTGCCAAGAACTGTGTAAACAAACAAGTGCACACTGTGTTATAAGTTTAATCAATGACTCACACGAAGAGAAGCAAGTTAAATATAGGAAAATCATTTTGGTCAGCTGTGAGTTGATGTATATTTGCATCGATTCAGCATATACATTTAGTTTAAAGGGGACATATTATGCAAAACCAACTTTTTAATCATTTGATTATGTACATTTGGGACTCTGGAGGGCCTATCAGCAGCAAAGTGTGAAAAAAAATGACTCAGTCATGTTTTTGTGGGCTGCCTCAGTCAGAATACAGGAGAGAAATCACGCAGGTTCAGAAGTGTGTAGTTTGTGACGTCACATGCTCTCCCTGTTGCCACCCACCTCTCTTTACTTCCTGTTGACTATCGGAGCTCCGCCATTGCTACTATAAAAGGCAAGCTAGCTGAGAACAAGCAAGTCCAGCCTGCAGCCTGCAGCCTGCAGCCTGATGTCTGGGCAAAGGCCTCAGCAGACAAACTGTTCAGTCATTGGCTGCACAGCCCAACACTAATTTACATATGTAAATTTATGTAAATCTATGTAAATTATTTTTGACGGCAATGTTCGGCTAGAGTCAGAAAAACCAGAAGGTGTGTGAACAACCTCGGTCAGTACAACAGTGGACTGGCTGACAGACTGTTCCTGAAAGAGGGATTGTACCAACTGTCTGTGGAGAGACGGCAGAGGAAGTCACTGGAAGGATTTTTAAGAATTTATGCTGTTTTTCATTGTTCGTGTAGTGCTAGCACATGCTAACCGCTGTTAGCTACAGGAGCCTCAGTGATGCTAACGTAGTTATTGTTTGTTATTGTTTGTTATTGTTTGTTAAATGTTTGTTAAATGTTAAAAGATGAACATGAAACTTATAAGGTGAAGTTAATGTATTAACCAGCTGGTGCAGATGTCTCCATATTCTCCCCTGCTGATATTTTTATAGAGATTCACACGAAGTTTAAAGCGCCCAGTATACTCGACGCACTCGAGCTGTCGCGCGACACCGTGGCGTCAAAATGACGTAGAGATTTTATCCCGGTTGCGCCGTGTCGTGCACCACTTTTTTTTTTTCAGCTTCGCGCGACAAACCGGAAACAGGAAGATGGACGATCTGTACGATCCTTCAATAAAGGAGCACAGAGACGCCGGAATTCATGGCGAGAAATCGGCATGAATGTTGGAATAGAGGAGGACATATTCTGGAAAATTTGTTTTGTTTCAGGTCAGACTCCCGCTCTAACATGTCCGGTGGTGAAGTTTTGGGTTTAGAAGCAGTTATTGAATTAATATTGATAAACTCAGTAACAGTGAGGAGCTACCTGCCGGCGCCGAAGGGGAGGGGCCAGAGCGTCATCCGCATGAGCCGCGTCATCCGCGTGAGCCGCGTCATAATGCCGACCAATCAGAGCAGACTGGGCTTTTCGGGAGGGGGGTCTTAAAGAGACAAGCCTAAAACCGAGCGATTCAGACAGAGGCTGAAAAGAGGTGCTCAGTTATAGGCAGTATGAGGAAAAATAATGTGTTTTTTGAACATTAAAACATCTAAACCTATTGTAGGAGAGCCATAATAATATGACTCCTTTAAGCTATCAAGTACCTGGATAATAAAGTGAATTATGTTTCTGGAAATCTCAATCCAAAACAATTCTTTGGTACCACCTGATAAAACCTGAGGTGTGTTTAAAAAGAAAAGTATTTTCCCTGCCTAGCAGCAGGGTGTGACAGTGACCATCAACTGTGTTGGTTTTCTCCTCCAGCCCAAAACGTTGGTCCAGAACATCTACTGCCCCGATATGGCCCCTGATGATGCTGTCTGTGTGTTAAACAAGATTAACCAATTTTTACTTCACATTCAAAATGCAGATTTTTAAAGTCATGGGAAACTATCCAGTGCCTCGTCAATGGGAGCTGAATGTATATCCTTCTGGGACTCCCCACCACTCCAGAAAAAGACTTTTGGGTGAGAAGTGAAACGTCTGGAAAGAATCTAAAACAGGTTTGGTTGCCGTTGACATAGCACCTCTAGACATACCATGACCTGGACAACTGAGAATCTTCACAGACTCTTTACAGAAATTGTGTGGAGTAAAATGCTAAGTATTTATAGTTCCAGAAAGTTCACTGCTTTTCCTTCCTTGGACCGCTTTTGATAGGTACTGACCTCTGCAGACCAGGAACACCCCACAAGAGCTGCAGTTTTGGAGATCTGCTAGCCATCCCAATTTGTCCTTGCTGCCTAATATATCCCACCATATTACTCATTCATAGATACTACAAACCCCAGGAGAAAAGAGTCCATCCTTGAAGATCTTTCTCTTGTAAAAAATTGGAATTACAGTTATACTTTTAAAACATAATCTCTCCTGTCAGGGTTGTCATTTTGTGACTGGTTCATTTGTGCAGTAGATACATCGAGATACGCTCTATCGAGATATCGAGAAACTGATTCTGTCCCTCACTCTCATCTGGATACTCTCCAGCACAGGTAACTCTACCCACTCCTTAATGCAGATATTATCAATTTAAGGCTCCTTAGAGTTTAATTGAAAATGGAGTCAAAGTAATTTGAGGAACAAAATCAGGAAAGAAACATGAAGTAGTTTATAGTGGCAGAGAGAGTTTGATAAATCACCAAATGGATGCTCTCCAGCACAGGTAACTCTACTCCTTAATGCTTAAATCACCAAATGACTCAAAGATGCAGAACTCTGCACACTTTTCAGAAGTTGTTTTTACTTTATCTAAAATATGAGCCTCAATTTTCACCTGAAGACTTAAATACTTCTGTTTCTGTTTCATTTGATGATTTAATGACAGCAGAGTGATTTCAATTACATTTGTCCGGATCAATATTTTTTTTCAATAACTATTATTATATATATTCATATATTTTTCTTTTTCCCCTCATTGCAGCTGAAGCTCTTCAGTGTCTGCACAATGACAGAAATTACACAGTCCTAAAGTCATGTACATCTGCTGACGAGATGTTACACCTGTAATAGTGTTTTCAAATCCCTCTTGGATGTCTCCATTCTCTGCCTAAGCAAATCTGCCATTTAGAAACCATGTAAAAAAATTAAATAAAATGGAGATTGACAATTACACATTCTGAATAGTGTGTGAAACGTGTGTGTTATTAGATGCAGTGCTGAAAGAGGAATTAAGTTTAATTATGTTATAAAATGCAAATGGCACTGATTTGGTGGAAAAAAAATAATTTTAGTAACAAAATATAACAAATAATAGAAAGTAAATTAACTTAGAATTAATTAGTGAAAATATTGCTTGAATAGTGAATAACTTCATGTTAACTCATAAGTAAGTTGATTATTGTTGGTAAGAACAGTCTCTGCAATAATATAAGCAGCTGATCAGTTGATCTCCTTTATTATACAGACTACGTGAATCCATTGTTGTCTATGTCAGTGCTTTGTCGCCAAACTGTCTGCTTGTTTAGTAAAAACTTTAGTAAATGCTATTCTTTATGTTCATTCTAATAAAGTGTTTGTGATAAATGAGAATAAAATGGTTTGTATGTGCTGTTATTAAACACTGTGGTGGTGTATGAGGCTTGTTGACGGCCTGTTAATTTAATAAAAGTATGAGGAACTTCAAATGAGCCACAGTACAATAAGCTCCCAGGAACTCTGATGTTATTTGTTTAAAGAACTCCTCCTGACAAAGAGAAGGAAGTTAATACAGGAAAATCAAAGAGAAATAATAAATTCAATACCAAAAACAGGAACAGAGTGTATCTCAACTTCTCCATTTGGAGGCATATCGTGACTTCTTTAATCTATAGTATAGTATAAAGGAGGAGGGGGGACTGGTAGACTTCCATCTAGTTAGAATTAGTCGTCGTGCTAACAGTGAGGTAAGTGCTATAACATTTGACTGATATGAAGTGATATTATATTCTGTTGATGGGGCACCAAATACCGCCATGTATGAGTTGGGATCTATTGTTTTGTTACAGATATGTGAGTATACTTGAAATATAGAGGTCTTGAAATTTTTTAAAAGAATTACATTACCTGAACATATGACCCATTGTCGCTTGTGATTGGTGACATTTTCGAAAGTTTAGCTTAAGTAAGGTAGAGATAACGTGTAACTTTGAACTGTAGCAAGCAGTCATGGATGCAGATAGATGAGGAATGAGTGCGACTAATGATGAGTTGATGATTCCAAATTGTTAAGACGGTTATTTAGATTCAGAGACAAGGGTGAGCAGATCAAGGATATGGGTGAGACTGGTAAACTTGAGTGTACTTCCATAGTAGACCAGACAGGGCCTTTACCTGTTTGTAATTTGGAAAACCAGATTGACAATTTACTGATATTTGCTACCCAGTAATAGTATAAAAAATTGTGTAGAGCTAAACGCCCGGATGCTTTCTGGCTCTGAAAGGTATGTTTCATGGATCTGTGCAGTTTTCTTGGTCCAGATGAAAGTTAAAATCATCTTATCCAATTTTTTTAAAAAAGACTGAAAAAAATGATTCTATATATAAAATATATTATATATACGGACATTAAGATTTCCTGCTTGCTTTGCTTTGCAGAATATGCTGTTTTCACAGCACTGTATAAAGTTCTTTTTTTCTTCTTCATGTCTATCTCTTCAAGTAGCTTTCTCTTTTTGATCACAGGTTTACATACAATATTTAAGGCCTATTACTGCAGTTCAACCAGCAGTCTGCACATTTCCTCATCATGATGAAGCTGATTCGGTGCCTCATTCTCATCTGGATGCTCTCCAGCACAGGTAACTCTACTCACTCCTTAATGTTTAAATCACCAAATGACTTATAGATGCAGAACTCTGCACATTTTTCAGAAGTTGTTTTTACTTAAATAAAATATGAGCCTCAATTTAAGACTTAAATACTTTTAAATTTCATTTGATGATTTATTGACAGCAGAGTGATTTCAGATAATTATATTTGTCCAGTTCAGTTAATTTTATATTCATATATTTTGTTTCCCCCCTCATTGCAGCTGAAGCTCTTCAGTGTCTCCACAGTCAGACAGTCCTAAAGTCGTGTGAATCTGCTAATGAGATGTGTGCAACAATTGCATTTGAGAGTAAGTAAAAAAAGTAAAAATGCATTTTAAAGTCCTTTAATTTTAGATTAAATGTCTGCTTTATTGGTCTGTGTGTTTTTAACATTAAATAAATTTTGCTTAGGTCAGTTTGAAAGTGCAACGATTGTAAAGAGCATCATCAGAACCTGTGCACCGCCCTTTCTCTGTGCTAAAACCGACCAGATATTTTCATTCAGTGATTCTATCGAAAGGTTGGCTGCATCGGTTCATTGCTGCAACACAGATCGCTGCAACAATCAACCTCTACCTTGTAAGTATTTTTAAATTGTATTAAACACCCTAAATATTCAGCAGCCTGTTGATGGTATTGAACATGTGATGCAGCTTCTGTTGCACACATCTGAACTCATCTGGTGTGAATTAATCTTCAAAGGTGTGGGAGAAATATTTCACTGGGGGAGGGTGGGATGCATTCCTACCTCTCCAAAGAGACTTCTCCTACACTGAAGCCCTGGGGCCTCATTTATAAAGTCTGCTGTGCACAAAAAAGTTGCCTAAATGACGATAAAATGTTGGTACAGATATTTCCCCACTCAGTCCTCATGAAAAAAACACATATGAAATATAAAATGCACACAGATTAAATATAAAACACACTTCAATACATTTCAGTATGCAAAATGTACGTATGATAGTCCAACAAAGGTTCCTTAAACAGGTCGGTATATTCATGATTGACCATTTGGTGGCATCCAACTAAAACCTGATCCACTCTGTTACTCAGCTCCTCCTTATTTTGTCACCAACCCCACATCTCCCACCATCTTTCCAACAGACAGTTCTTGGTTTCTCAGTAACTTCTGTGTTTCATACATGTCTCCTGTTCTGTTTCAGACCCTGATTTACAGGTGAAAAATGGCCTGGAGTGTGTCAGCTGTGCTAATCCAAGCTGTAATGAGACAGTAAACATACAGTGTGTGGGAGCCCAGGACCGCTGCATTAAAACAAATGGCAAGACATACTGCTGCATATTGACCATAGACTGGCTCACAGAATCTGTCACAGCTGCTTTCAGGTGTTTCTTGTGGCATTTAAAAAAAAATTGTTTCAAAATTGTGGTCTTGTAAAACTGTGACTTTGTCATCCACAGTGACATTTAATGATGACACCTTGATCTTCCTCGGCTGTGCGTCTGTGGACCTATGTGAAGAAACTGCTTCTTCTCTCTCCGGTATTCCTAACGTAACAATTGCATCAAAATGTTGTGGAAGCAGCTTCTGTAATTCAGCCTGGACTGTCAAACTGAGTGTGGCTCCTTTGCTGCTTGGTCTCGTTGCCCTCGTTGTCTATTAGATCCAAGACCAGAGTGTAATAGAGCTGAGAGGTAAACTGAAAGATGAACAAATGAATATCCTTCAGAGCAGGGCCAGTTAACTTACCCAATTTGTGTGGTTTGAGATGTGTGGTGGTCAGCACTCAGTTTGATTCCTAAATTATTTCTTATGTTCTGTTTTGATGCTATTTTCGGTAATATCAGCTCTGATGCCACAAGAGTACATTTAATGTATTTAAAAGAAAATCTGCTTAAAACTCAGCAGTTTTTCTTAACAGGACTGAACGTAACAGTCCTGTTAAGAAAAATGCAAATCTTCCATTTAAAAACCATGTAGAAATAAATAAAATGGCCTGAGCCTGACACTTAAATACTATATACATATATTTTAAATACTTACTATACTTACTTACTACTGTGTTATTATATACAGTGCTGCAAAAAGATAAATCATTTAACTTAATTAATAAAATCACAGTAATTAGGCAGAAAAATATCAAAAACTTTTTTACTTTATAATTGAGTGAGTAAGAAATAATACAATTAAGTAAAATAACTTAAGTCAGTCAAAGGATTCTAATAAGTGAAAAGACTGCTTGAATAGTGAATAACTTCATGCTAACTCATAATAAACTGTCAGCTGATCAGTTTCTCTCCTTTATTATACAGACTACATGAATCCATTGTTTTCTATTTCAGTGCTTTGTTGCTAAACTGTCTGTTAGTTCAGTAAAAACTTTAGTAAATGCTATTCTTTAATGTTCATTCTAATGAAGTGTTTGTGATAAATGAGAATAAAATGTTGTGTGTGTGTGTGTGTGTGTGCTGTTATTAAACACTGTGGTGGTGTATGAGGCTTGTTGATGGCTGTTCATTCCACTTCATTTTCCTTCATTTAAAGTAACAAAATGTAAACAGTATGTTTAATGCTAAAAGATATTCAGGGAAAGAATGAATAATTCTGTGAGTACAAATCACTAATTTCAGAAATAGGATTTATTAATTGATGTGCATGAATTAGGCTTCCAGAGATAACAATTACAGGTATGTGAGAAGGTGAGGTAGTATTTCATTGTGATTGTAGTTAAACTTTATATCTGTGGTTTTATGATCAAATCATTGATGCTCATTGTTCAGCTCACCGTCATCATTCAACTGAAATATATTTTACTTGCAGCAGATGGAGCTGTTCAGTGTGGCAGCAACATTAACTGTTAATCCAGTGAACATTGTGCTATTATACAGGGTACGAGTAGAAAGTGTAAAGAAATCTCTTTCAAATTGTCTAAATAGTTTCCTGAGGTGAGCCCTCCATGTAAATCAATCCAAAAATCAATGAATTCAGGTTTAAAATGTTTCTTTTATTCCTTGCTGCCTCTGTTAATAAGTTCCCCCTGTCAACACTGTCATCTCTCACGGTGCTGAAACAGTTTTAACCACAACTGCAGCATCACAATCAGGAAGAATACACTGAGTTCAGGTTACAGTGTTAGGTTCACCAGGCTAAAATGAATGCAGTCTAATACAACAGTTCTGCAATAAATCCTCCTCATGAAGGTTATAATGTTTGTTGAGTGTTGATTTAACTGTATGATCTTTTTGGTGGCTGCAGTTTGTGGTGCTGTTGAACTGTTGAACTGCTGAACTGATGAATAAAAAACATACTTAACCCTCCTGTGAAAATGACATGGATGGTTCCCTGCTATGCTCTTTGCAAGTCAAATTAATTGTGACTATATTTGTTGAATTATGTGTATTATATTAAAATTTGTAACACCTGTGGTCTTCCCGGGTCAATTTGACCCGGCCACATTTAGTGGTGCAATAGGTCACAGTTTGCGCTTTCCAGCACAACAAACACACACAGAGACACACACACACACACACACACACACACACACACACACACAACACACACACACACACACACACACACACACACACACACACACACACACACACACACACACACACACACACACACACACACACACACACACACACACACACACACACACACACACACAAACAATTCAAAGCAACTTCCAACTCTCAGATGTGCATCACTTTGGATAGCAGAATTTGTAAATTTGTAAAATATACAAACTCTGATGTGCATTCGGCCACCAGACAACACACAATTGCAAAGCTACACATTTGTAAACATGTTCATTTGACACCTTTATATAGAACTATATATATATATATATATATATATATATATATATATACTATATTTGTTGAATTATGTGTGTTTTATTAAAATTTTTAGCACCTGTGGTCTTCCCGGGTCAATTAGACCTGGCCACATTTAGTGGTGCAACGGGTCACACTATTACGCTTTCCAGCACAACACACACACACACACGCAGACACACACACACACTCAAAACAACTTCCAACTCTCAGATGTGCATCACTTTGGATAGCAGAATTTGTAAATTTGTAAATACAACCTCTGATGTGCATTCGGCCTCCAGACAACACACGATTGCAAAGCTACACATTTGTAAACACGTTCATTTGACACCTTTTATGTGGTACATCTTCAAGGAACTACACCACATCCAGTTGCCTTTAGACTCAGCTGACTCTGACATCCTTGATATGCCTTTCTCAGATTGGGGACAAGATAAAACTGAGCTGATAAGTACAGCATCCTCGGAGCATTTCACATTTCACTCTGAGACAGCACAATGAAGAGGACCTTGCTTTGCAAATCATATATGTTTACTGAACTTACTGATTTATAAATACAATTGCATCAGTCAATATTGACCTGGTGATATCCTGGCTAATATTTGACACATACCTGTCAGTGGTTATTCAAAATAACTAAACATTTCTGCTTATTTTGTTCAAAAACATGGTATAATTTCATATAAATTAGGTTTGTTGTCCATAAATAGAGGTGAAAAAGAAGTTTAAAACTTGTGGTAATGAGTTGGAATGAAGTTGGCTAAAAATATGGAACACAGAATGGTGTGATCATTTTACACTTTATGGTTTATAAACAGTCGAACTAGATGGGTCAATTTGACCCGGGAGGACAACAGGTGTTATACTATTTGCTGCCATTAAAAAAATTGAAATGGTTTCAAAACAATATCCTGACTAAACTTTGACAAATACCAGTCTGTGATAATGCATCAACATATGTGCCTCTGTTCATAACCATCGTGAAAAAAATTCACAATTTGTGCTTTTTTTACTCAAAAATGATTTGTAATTTTATGTAAATTGGGTCTATCATACCATAAATTACAAAAATAAGTGTAAAATATATCTTAATGTGTTGGAAACAAGTTCACTAAAAAGGTCAAAAAAATGGTGATCATTTTATACCTCATGCTTTATAAGCAGTCAAAACAGACCAGGTCAATTTGACCCGGGAGGACAAAAGGTGCATAGTAAACGGGAAGACAATACAAGGCTTAATATCAAACATTTTTACTGCACCAATTTGAAAAATACAACAATAAAAGTCCATATTTGTACAACCAACAACCGACATTAGCTCACCTTACCTTCTCTGTAGCTGAGAGTTTGATTGACAGCCTGGTGGTAGCAATGAGGGGTGTTGTGGGAATCAACACATGGCTCATTTGAATATTTAAATTAGCCATGTGTTGATAGGTCACTACACGAAACTGTAACCAATGAAACTCTTTATTTTGACACACATTTTTAGCCAATAAGTATTAAACTAACAAGGTAATGTGTCAAAAGGCGACCTTTTTTGAGGACAAATGAGTGTGGGCTTAAGGCTGATTTATTATTTATTTTTTCACCATGTCCCTTTAGGGGCTCCGTACGTTACCCTTCACAAATAAAGTTTTAAAAAACAAACAAAAAAAATCTGTTACCGTTCACTTCTGTTGTGGCTCACTTCCGTTTTGACTTTTGTATTCGTGTTGTGACTTTTGTATTCCGCGTGACACCTCCGGGCCAACGTACATCGAGCTGAAGGGAACTGTGACATTGGGTAATAATTAAACTGGTTCATCACCATGACCATCACCATGAGCGACTCCTTTTACAACTCGAACCATAAATTATTATCAAGTTCAGACAAAGGTTTGAAAATGAAGTCATTTTATTAACTGTAATAACTATACATTGACATTTTAACAGTCAAAAACTATCTGCATTTAACTGATAGGTAGCTGGCAAAGTGAGCAAACAACCACAAATCTCTCATCTGGTTCAACTTAAAGCATTTCCCCTTTTTTTGGGGGGGGTTATCGTCCTCCTCTTGTTTCACTATATAAGGTCCACAGTACAACCACTGATCTGCACATTTCCTCATCAGGATGAAGCTGATTCTGTCTCTCGCTCTCATCTGGATGCTCTCCAGCACAGGTAACTCTACTCCTTAATGCTTAAATCACCAAATGACTCAAAGATGCAGAACTCTGCACACTTTACAGAAGTTGTTTTAACTTTATATAAAATATGAGCCTCAATTTTCACCCGGAGACTTAAACACTTCTGTTTCATTTGATGATTTGATGACAGCAGAGTGTCCTGATCAATCATTTTATATTCACTTGTTTTAATTTTTCCCTCATTGCAGCTGAAGCTCTTCAGTGTCTGCACAAAGACACATCAGTCCTACAGTCGTGTAGATCTGCTGATGAGATGTGTGCAACAATTGCATATCAGAGTAAGCCCTTTCCACATGAAAGTAAAACATGTAAAAATACATTTTAAAGTCCTTTTCTTTTAGATGAAATGTCTGCTTTATTGGTCTGTGTGTTCTTAACATTAAATAAATTCTGCTTAGGTCAGTATGGAAATGCAACTCCAACAACTGAAAAGAACATCGACAGATCCTGTGTGCCGTCCTTTCTCTGCGCTGGAAACAATCCGATATTTTCATTCAGTGATTCTGACAAAAGGTTGGCTGCATCGTTTCATTGCTGCAACACAGATGGCTGCAACAATCAACATCTACCTTGTAAGTCTTTTTAAATTGTATTAAACACCCCAAATATTCAGCAGCCTGTTGATGGTATTGAACATGTGATGCAGCTTCTGTTGTACACATCTGAACTCATCTGGTGTGAATTAATCTTCAAAGGTGTGGGAGAAATACTTCACTGGGGGAGGGTGGGCCGCATTCCTACCTCTCCAAAGAGACCTCTCCTACACTGAAGCCCAGGGGCCTCATTTATAAAGTCTGCTGTGCACAAACAAGTTGCCTAAATGGCGGTAAATTGTTGGTACAGATATTCAGTCCTCATGTAAAAAACACATATGAAATATAAAATGCACACAGATTAAATATAAAACACACTTTAATACATTTCAGTATGCGAAATGTACGTATGATAGTCCAACAAAGGTTCCTTAAACAGGTCGGTATATTCATGATTGACCATTTTACAGATAATTGGTGGCATCCAACTAAAACCTGATCCACTCTGTTACTCAGCTCCTCTTTATTTTGTCACCAACCCCACATCTCCCACCATCTTTCCAACAGTCAGTTCTTGGTTTCTCAGTAACTTCTGTGTTTCATACATGTCTCCTGTTCTGTTTCAGATCCTGATATACAGGTGAAAAATGGCCTGGAGTGTGTCAGCTGTGTTAATTCTAGCTGTAATGAGACAGTAAACGTACAGTGTGTGGGAGCCCAGGACCGCTGCATTAAAGCTGGTGAGCCATACTGCTGCATATTGACCATAGACTGACTCACAGAATCTGTCACTGCTGCCTTCAGGTGTTTCTTGTGGCACTTTCATTTTTTTGTAATGGTAAGAAAAACTCTGTTCTTATAGAACTGTGACTTTGTCATCCACAGTGAGACAGGATGATGACACCTTGATCTTCATTGGCTGTGCGTCTGTGGACGTGTGTGAGGTTTTTTCTCAGCAGGATGTCCATGCTGCTTCTTTTTTCTTTGGTATTCCAGTGTCCAACAGTTCATCAAAATGTTGTGGAAGCAGCTTCTGTAATTCAGCCTGAACTGTCAAACTGAGTGTGGTTCCTTTGCTGCTTGGTCTCGTTGCCCTCATTGTCTATTAGATCCAAGACCAGAGTGTAATAGAGCTGAGAGGTAAATTGAAAAATGAACAAATGAATGTCCTTCAGAGCAGGGCCAGTTAACTTACCCAATTTGTGTGGTTTGAGATGTGTGGTGGTCAGCATTCAGTTTGATTCCTAAATTATTTCTTATGTTGTGTTTAGCACTGATGTTAGGAGGCTACATTTAATGTATTTAAAAGAAAAGATGCTAAAAACTTAGCAGTGTTACGTTCAGTTCTGTTCAGAAAAATGAAAATCTTCCATTTAAAAACCATGTAGAAATAAATAAAATGGCCTGAGACTGACACTTACACATTTTAAATACTTACTATACTTACTTACTACTGTGTTATTATATACAGTGCTGCAAAAAGATAAATCATTTAACTTAATTAATCAAATCACAGTGATTAGACAGAAAAACATGCAATATATTTTTACTTTAAAATTGAGTGAGTAACAAATAATAAAATGAAGTAAAATAACTTCAGTCAATGTAAGAATTCTTCCAAGTGAAAAGATTGCTTGAATAGTGAATAACTTCATGCTAACTCATAATAAACTGTCAGCTGATCAGTTTCTCTCCTTTATTATACAGACTACATGAATCCATTGTTTTCTATTTCAGTGCTTTGTTGCTAAACTGTCTGTTAGTTCAGTAAAAACTTTAGTTAATGCTATTCTTTAATGTTCATTCTAATAAAGTGTTTGTGATAAATGAGAATAAAATGGTGTGTGTGTGCTGTTATTAAACACTGTGGTGGTGTATGAAGCTTGTTGATGCCTCTGGATTTTAAGGGGTGTAAGAAATCATCTAATAGAATAAACAAGTGTCAAGAACAAAAACACACAATTTGTCAGAAAATATATTAAGTATGCATAATTGTATAAACGCAAACTTCTTGCCTTGCATTTACTGAATTTGCTGTTTGAGTTCATCAGTTTTTAATATAATATGAAACATCAATAGAATATGTGACATATGGTCATCAGTCCCTTCAGGAAAAAGGTCGGGAACCACCGTCACACACAGCAAAAGACAAAATCCAGTTGAGTAAACAGGTGTGACTTTCCAGAACTGTCTAAAATGTAAGAGGATGTACAGACACATTTTCAGGACAACAACTTATATATTTAATAATCATAATAATAATCCATTTAATGTATAGAGCGCTTTTCCAAAAACTCAAACACGAGTTAAAGGGAAAAGAAAAAGATAATAAAAACAACACACTACAACACTCAACAATAATTTATTATGAAAATCATTAAAAGCAGTTCTGATAAGGTGAGTTTTGATCAGTGATCTGAAGTTGGATGGATCAGTACAGTCTCGGATTTGTTTGGGGAGAGAGTTTAATTTAATTATTATTTAACTACAATAATTATTCTTGATTTAGACCTGATGTTGTTCCAAACACAGTACAGGGAGACGCTCTCTCTGTATTACAGGCTCTTAGTTTTGCAGGTTATCCAGGAACTCCTCTATTTCTCCACACATTCGGTTTCTGTTCCTTTCTCTAATCTTCTCCAGTATTCTGATGCTGTTCTCACGAAAGTAAGATTGAAACGGTATCTTTGCTGCCCTCATGTGATATTCTATGGACCTGTAGCTCTCCTTTCGAATGAAATGTACATACTTTGCATAGTAGTTGAAAAGCATCTGTGACCCTTCAGGATCCAGATCACTTCCTAGCAGTTCTTCGTATATCTGGTCAGCTTCATCTTGGTGATTCGAGTGTCCGTATATGTTTGCAAGAGATATTTTTCTTTTAAGTGAAGACTGAGGGTAAAGAGAGATCACTTCCCGACAGAGACTGATTGCTCTGTTGATCAAGCTGTGCTCCAGGGGATTGTCCTTGTGTAGAAGGATCCTCCTCTTGTAGCAGATTGCAGTGCACCTTTTCAGATAACGCTCATCTGGATGTCTTTCCAGAATCTCCTCTGCCAGATCAATAGCCTCATCCATAGATACATGGATTCTGTACAGCCTCAGTAATGGTTTGATGCCACTATAGCTGCTGACGGGCTTTCTTAAAACTCTTCTGGCCAACTCACGTGCTTCAGCTTGTACTTTTTTCCCTTTCTTAGCGCAGGCCTCAATGTGAAGAGCAGCAAGGTACAAGTTCTCTGGATCATGTTCCCTGGCGACTTTCATTTTCCCCAAGATGTCAGCCTCCAGCTCTTTGTTGTGGTGGTCATAAGCACTCACTAACGCTAAGACATGGCTGGTGTGCCACTCCACCATGTCCGGCTGCATCCTGATGGCTCTCTGGAAGTAATCTGCAGCCAGCAGCTTTTTGTCCGCGCTGAACTTCATCAGGGTCCAGGCTTTTTCAGCGTAGATCTCTGGATGGAGCTCGTCCTGGGATGGAGATGGATATTCATTCATCAGTGTGTCGATCTTTGACAGGTACGCCTGACTCTCTGCTTGTTCTCCCTCGTGGTAGTGCAGCCAAGCTAGGTTCCCGTAGTTCACCACTAACCAGGGACCCTCGTCTGAGACGGTGTTTTTCACCTGGCGGAAGGCCTCTGCAGCCCTGCCGAAGAAGCGTTGGGCATCCTCAGTGAGCCTCAGCTGGTAGTGGGTGTACCCCTGCAGGTTGTAAATGTGACCCAGCCAGCTGTATCCCTCCTCGGTGCCGATGTCCTCCAGTTTGTCTCTGAGACGGAAAAGTTTGGACCTGCTGGGATCCAGATCCCAGGTGAAGTGACACTGCAGGGCCTCCAGTCGGGCCTCCAGTGTCGACTGACTCTGATCCGCACTGATGGAGATTAAAAAATGAGAAATATTCCATCAAAAACGCAGTACACTTCTTTCTGTGGCATGTTATGTTAAGATAATCACTGTTCATCTCATTGAGGAAAGAAGGAAGAAAGGAAGGAAGGAAGGAAGGAAGGAACGTAATCAAGAATATGTCATTAGCAGAGGGCGTTGCACAACATTTTAGGAAATCAACATTTTAGGTTCTGAGGCTATTTAATTTAGCTCAAAATGCTTCAACGGTGCCGGTTCCCTGTTGGTGGCAGTTCATAGGAGCAACAAAGATAAAGTCTAATCTCAGGTAACCCAATACTCTAACATTCATTGACAGTCTGTGACTTTTTGAAAGGGTTTCATATTATTTCAAATATTTGTTGAGAAGTTGCAAAAGACACATTATCGATAGTGCCACAGTAATGTAGCATAGGTCTGTCTGTCCTATATCTCAGCATTTCATTCATTTCTGTGAAGAAAAGTAAATGATATTTTTAAAGTTTAGATTATTATTTATGATCTAAACTTTGAAGACCTGAACTCTCTCTGAAAAACAGCCTCATCCTGCATTAAAAACAGTCTGCAGTTAAAACAACCAAAGCACTAGCAGTTAATGGAGGTAAATAAGGTGGGAAATACAGAGGCAGAGGAGGAAATAAGGGAGCAGGAGAGGAGGAACTTAAGTGCAAAGAAATTGAGCAAGAAAACCGAAGCGGAGACAGGAGGGGAGGAAGAACAGATGGAAGAGTAAGTCATAATGAGGTGAAAAAATAAGAAATAAAAGACTGAATTGGGAAGAAAATGGATAATGAGCAAGGAGGGAAAGAAGAAAGAAGGCTGAAAGGGACAGAGGAGGGAGGAGGGAGGAAGGAAGAAGGGCGATACTGTTATAAAAGCAAAGAAGGAAAGTAGAAAGAATTGAGGATAAAAATCAACTCAGTGATCTTTTACATTTAAAGGTTATTGATTACAGATAAAAATATGATATGCAGAAGCAGATACACACCTCATCCTCCAGCTGTTACCTGTAGTTATCTAAATATGAGTCTGTGGTTTCTGTTCTATATGTAGCTGCTTTGGGTGCGGCACAATAAAACCAGTAATGTTCAACTTCTATGGCGTTGTAAATTATGTCATGTTGAGCATTGTATGTGGACCCAGTGGACTTTCTGTTCCCTGTAATAGAAACCTACGGCCACGTGTCTGTCGAGGCGCTGCATTCTATTTATTATTCATGCATCTTTTATTATATAACTATATATGTTCTTATAACTATATCAATTTCACACGGGCCAAGACTTTTTGGTCCTTGAAAATCCTTTAACACTGACATTAGAAAACTCAAATATCACGCTTCATACAAATGGAACAATCTGCAGAAGTTTTGTAAAACTGGACGATATAATCAATATAAATTCCTTAGAATATAGATAAGAGAAGATACAAAGAACCGTTATTCCCAGTAGGGGAAATTCAAATTGAGACAGCAGCAGGGAAATGTATGCAAATAATAAAGGAAAGAGAATAAAAATAAAATAAATGCAATTATAAAAAAGATAAATAAATACACTTCTGAGTAACACAGAGCCGTGTTAATGAGTGTGTTTTCTTTGAACTGATACCGTCCCTTGTGTTGATGTCCATGGCCTGTTTGATTTATAATTTGTCCATTTGTTTATTATTTTATATGTAGGCTACTGTAATCAGGGGGTCACTTGTATCAGTGGTTGCTTGGAAAGATATTTTACCTCAAAATCATCTAATGTGACACCTAGTAAAGCACTGAACAGAAATATTGAAAGGTGACATCAGAAATCAATGAGTTGTTTTATTTTGAAATCTTCAGAAATATTATGGCCACACAACCACGTGATTAAATGAATTTCCATTACATTTTACATTTTTCATCCACTCTTAATGAGCCTGCCTGTTTAAATAAAGGTTAATAATTTAACAATGAATCCCTCAGCTCTTCAAAGATCGATGCAATGGTGTATCTGTCAAACAGCAGATGTTTACAGTCTGCAGCTACCAGACAATAATCAATAATCAATAATGCAGTTTATTTTTTGTCCAGTTGGGGTCAGTAAAGAAATTTTTTTTTTTTTTTTTTTTAAAACGAAGAAGAAGAATCTGGATGACGCCGGTTGCCCTGCGACAGAGACACGGTGCATGTAGCATGTAGCATGTAGCACGCAGCTAGAAGCCACTTTAACAGGATATCGCTGCTGTCTGCGACATAAAAGCGACAACGCGAGTTCCTCTGCGAGCAACTGAGTTACCGCCTCCACAGAAAGGCGCCCAGTGGCGGCACTGTGGGCCAGAAGCTCCCGGTTACCGAGCTGGTGTCCGCCGGTTAGCCGTCGGTAGCTGCTGTCGCTGTTTCCAGGTAACCAGGTGACCAGGTGACTATGTGACAGCCAGCGCGTGGGTCGGTGGCTGTTGTGTGGAGCAGTGCATGACCGCAGGTGGAGGAGGGCAGGTGGAGGATGGAGACCTGGACCCCCAATCCCCGAGCCAAGCCCTTCATCCCCCGCCAGCAGAGGAGCCTCTACCTCACCTGGAAGTACAAGCTGACCAACAAGAGGACGATCCGCAGGTTGTGTCAGGTGAGACACCTTCCTCTATCTCCTCCACCTGGGAGCGTTTCCTGTCTCACCTCTGGATGTATTTGGGAGTTTTTTTTGGGGGGCCTTTTTTCATTTTAAAGCTTCAGCCCTGAGGAGGGATCACTACACACGTGTCCCTGTACAAATAAACAATCCTTAAATGAATGAATGAATGAATGAATGAATGAAGGTTGAAGACATTGTCATTGGAAACAGGTGAATGTGTTTGTGTCTCTCTGATCTTCTCTCCCACCACAGGCTGGCGCTGTCCTCTTTCTGCTGATTACGGTCATAGTCAACATTAAACTCATCTTGGACACCAGGAGAGTAGCGAATGAAGACGCAGCAGCTCAAGAATACGGTGAGAAACACGTCCAGCGTTACATTATTTCTTTCACTTTCAGACGAACCAGTCAAAGTGTAACCTCCTCGAAACTCCAGTAATACAGATTGTGGCATTATAATTAGACTGAGTGTTGGGAAATGTACTATTACTTTGGGTAGGCAAGGTTTCCAGAGCAAAACTATACATCTGATCTTTAGGAGGAACTAATCTTGGTCTCACGCTCCTTTCTTTTTTTAGAGGACGCAGTACCCAACATGGAGACGCCACGCAGGCCGCCTAATGGACGCAAGGTTCTGGACATCGAGGTGTACTCCAGCCGGTCCAAGGTCTACGTGGCGGTGGACGGCACCACTGTGAGTTCATCTGATTGTCCCATAAATAATCCCGACCATATATATATATATCATGATACAGCTAACTTTCTGTAAATTCATAAATAGTTTAGATAAAATGGCAACAGATTAAAAGTTAGCTCTTCATATTTGATTGTTATTCTCCTTTTATTTATTTATTTATTATATTTATATATTCAGTTTAGCATGTAACAGAATAAAATATTAACGTCTCAGTGTCTCCCACATAAGACTTTACGTGAGTGGGACACTCGGGTATATTAACGTCCAGCGTTTAAGCATTTTGCAGAGAAACACAGAGCGACGCAGACGGACAGATGTTTGTTTATAATCGGTCTGACTCTCCTAGAAACCGTACAATATTCTCCAGCGTACAGGTAAAATACAGATCTTTATCATCCTGCAGGTGTTGGAGGATGACATACGGGAGCAGGGACGAGGCATCCACGTGATAGTTCTGAACCAGGCAACTGTAAGGATTCACTTTATATTCCTTATGTTCAACGTTAACAACTTAAGTTCATTCCCATTTTTATAGGTTTTATTTGTAATTCTAATTGTTTGGCTGTGCTGGTAATATTTCTGACTGTGGTGTGTGTGTGTGTGTGTGTGTCTCAGGGTCATGTGATGGCCAAGAGGATATTTGACACCTACTCTCCCCATGAAGATGAAGCCATGATCCTCTTCCTCAACATGGTGACCCGGGGTCGAGTCCTCATCTTCACCATAAAGGTCAGCCACTCGTCCGATATGAGTTATTCACGATGCATTCATGCGTCATACAGACAGGTGACACATTTAAAGAAAAATCTGAATGTGGAGAAACATGTTTTTTTTTGGTCCCGCAGGACGAAGGTACGTTCCACCTGAAGGATGCTGCTAAGAACCTGCTGAAGAGTCTGGGCAGCCAGGTGTCTCTCAACCTCAGCTGGAGGGACATGTGGACCCTGGTGGTGAAGAAAGGAGGTAGAGCGGCAAAGTTTCACTTTTAAGTAGACGTAATTCTGTCGAATGGCTTTATGTTCAGCCATAACAGTCACTCACTCAAGTGGTGTCTTGTCATTTTATTCCCTGATGTTTTGGGCTCTGCAACTCCTGCTTCTACAATGGAGGTGAACAGAAGTTTGTTTGTGGTCCCCAGTGCATTGAACAGTAACATTTAAATAACTCAACAGTGATATGTTTGTCTAGAAACTGTCCCTAAACAGCTTTCTTGACCCACAGCTTATTTAAAATCAGGCTGTAGCTTTCAGATCTTTTTGTCGATACAAGAGTAAATCAAAGTTCAATTTAAGTTTACCTCGTTTTCAATTTTATCTAAATGATGTCTTCAATGCCTTCACATTTTTTTAAATAAAGTTTTCATAAACAGTGGAGCAAGAGGAGCAGCATTTTTTTAGCTTTGTCTTCCTGCAGTTGTGCTTTTTATTACAAAATTGCATTTAATTATTTATCAGTTTTCAGCATTAAAGCAGGCAAATAGAATGACTCATGCAGTTTTATGATCGGGCAATTGAAAAATAAATATAGATATATCAATAGTTAGTTAAGGATAGATATCTTCTGTATCTAGATGTCTTTTTCCATTGTTAGACATTTATCCAGGTTTTCCCCTGCCTGTCTAACTCAGTGGTTGTGTATTATTGGCTGCAGCCTTTGTTGGGAATTCTGACGTTAACAACAAGCCTCCTCCACTTTACACTGCTCTCTGTTTACATACTTCATGCGTAGTTGACAATAAAAAAAAAAAGAATAAGAGCTCAGGGAAGGAACGTGGGCTAGGAATTAGTTCAAATGTATTCTAAGTTTAATCATTTAATCAAGCTTGATTTATGAGATCACCTGATCACCTGCTGGCTGTATGTTTTTGTGTGTTCGGGGGTTCAGGTCAGGTGTATGGAGAGAAGCACTCAAAGTCTCCAGCTCTGTCCACCTGGGGAGACCCGGTCCTGCTGAAGACTGAGGTGCAGCTCACCGCCTCTGAAGGTAAAGTACATTTCTGTTAGGCTTGGACAAGTGTACAATATGTGTAATCACCCAAATCACTTATAAGAAAGCACACACCTTCCCAGCTGCTAGCACTTGGTGGAGATTTCTTTATAAACGGCTAACAAACTGAACGCGGTCGTCCGTCCTGCAGAGGCAGAGTGCCACTGGGCAGACACCGAGCTGAACAGGAGGAGGAAGATCTTCTGCGGCAAAGTGGAAGGATACGGCAGCATCTGCAGCTGCAAAGACCCGGCGCCCATCGAGTTCAACCCGGACCCCGTAAGACACAGCAGCATTCTTTTAGATCAGACTTTGTTTTATTGATCTGCACGTAATAGAGAAGGACTGAAGAGCCTGAAAAGTAAATAGGGATCTAAACATGACTCAAGCATCTTGGTTTCTTTTTGGTATGATATTTTATAGCCGCACAGTAAATGTAGTTGGAAGTTTAAAGGAATAGTTAATAGACATTTTCCTTTCATTCAGTGTTCTGATGATGACGCCAAGCAAAACCTGTTGCAGTATTCATATGACTGATGTTTATTAGTGTTCATTTTTTTCCCTGAGTAAGATGAGGTGACGAGGCGACACAGACGCATTTGAAGCATGTGTAGAAAATAAATTGAAATCTACATTTTAGCATCAAAATTAAACTTGAGGACATCACATTGTGAAACTGACAGTGATATTTTGTTTGTCCAGCTGCCCGTCAATAACGTCTTCAGTGTCCCTGTGGCCGTCATAGCAGGGAACAGACCCAACTATCTCTACAGGTAAGATCTGAAAAACTAATGTTCAGTGTATAAAGTATAATGGAGGCCTGAGGTTGTATTTTTTTATTTTATTGTCATCTTTAAAAATATTGGTTGCTATTTCATAGATAAACTGCATTACAGCATCTGAGTTTTACCTTCAAACTAATGAAGATAAATGAGGCGTACAGACGGTAAATATTCCGAGAAGTAAATGACTCACTGCTTTACTTGTCATTTTAAATTGATTGTATGGAAAATAACCTCGGTTTATAAACGGGGTGACTGCCGTAATGAGCTGCTATTGCGAATGTGGGATGAAGAAAGATGGCAGCCCCTCCCTTAGAAATACATTTGGTAATTATATGAAGGGAAATTACAGTCTAGCTGTCCACCTTTTTGTTAAATAGGAACAAATCAGTCATCCAGCGATACAGAACCAAACAGGAAATTGCGCTCATTTGTTTCTTGTGCCTAAAGTAAATTTATGACCACTTGTCGTCTGTTTTCAGGATGCTGCGGTCACTCCTTTCAGCTCACGGCGTCAACCCGCAGATGATCACAGTCTTCATTGATGGATATTATGAGGTACCAGGTTTATTGTCCTCGTTCTCTTTCCTTACATCCTATCTGGTTGGTCAGAGCTCCTCTTACACTAACACTATAGCACTATGGTGGTAAATACTCTGTACTTTAGATATAAATATATGTTATTTTTAATACTTAGCCACAAGGAACTTTCATTTTGTGTTGATTCTGGTGGCCCCTGTGGACAAAAGTGGTAGCGTTTCTATTGCCTTTTTTCATTGATTTCAAGGGGAAATGCGACTGAATCCGACCTGGTGATGGGCATTAAGAATAGCTATATAGAAATAGTCTTCTCATTCTTAGTTTATGTAGGTCATATAAAGGCATCAGTATTAAAGGTTGCATATACAAAATTCATTTTGATGTTTGCTTTACATTATATTCCCCTGGTGGCTTAATAAACCCCTCATACATTTTTGTGTGTGTGTTCTCGACCCAGGAGCCTATGGATGTCGTAGAGCTGTTTGGACTGAAGGGAGTTCAGCACACACCCATCAGCATCAAGAACGCCAGAGTGTCCCAGGTAAAAGGCACTTAGCTCCTCATTTAAGGGTTAACACACAGAGTTATTATTCATTCTCACTGATTTGTAAAAGCTAAAGCCATTTTTACAGTTTCCACCGAACTGTAAATGTTTTTTTTTTCAAGCCAGTAAAGTAACTTGAGGCCTCCAGCAGTTCCACCTTTGTTAGTCTGTGTTTGAGAATCAATGGTCTGTCTCTGCTCTCTGTCGCAGCACTACAAGGCGAGTCTGACTGCGACCTTCAACCTTCACCCAGTGAGTACTTTGGTTTCCTTTTTGTCAAGACAAACTACAAAAAGTTATTCTTTCATGTCATTAAAGAGTGGCAGTAAGATGTGTGGTTTTACACAGGCTGTAAAAGAAGGGTGGCTTTTTCCTCTTAAGACCAACTACTTTTTTACTTTATTTACAATATTATTTTATTATAACTGTCAGTTATAGCTGGGCTTGTGAGTTGCACTGAATGGACACTGTTATTTTTGGTTTTCATCAGGAGGCCAGCTTTGCCATCGTCCTAGAAGAAGACCTGGACATCTCCATCGACTTCTTCAGGTACGTCATCCAGAATACACAACAGCTACTTAAGAGGCTGATAAGGTTCCACCGTTGCTATGGTAATCAACATCCAAAGCAGTATTCCCCACAGACTTGCAGAGAGACACACAAAGAGAGAGAAACGGTATCTGGTGTTATGTTAATAATGTCATCAAAGACATTAGATGAAGCATTTCTATTGTCATTAATATGGATTATTTTTCATGATCCTAAAGAGAAGTTTGTGTTTATATTGAGCCCATTATTCTAGACTTCACAGCATCAGGCCCATAAACCCTCCCAGCTGTCAGAACCCCCACTAGGTGGCAGTAGATCCTCAGTGATACAGCTGCTATCAGCTCTGTGAGGAACTCCAGCCTCCCTTTGTTGGACAGACTCTCCTTTGAACTGTGTGTTTTGCTGCTATAAAAGCTCCAGCTCCCCTGCTGCGCGGACCGGCCTGTTTTTGAAGCGCAGACTTCAAATAATGCAGAAGCACTCGCAGACTTTATCTCGCTCCGTTTTAATGTCAGTTAGCTCTCACTTAGAGAGCTCTTAAAACCAAAGCCTCCTGCTGACATAAACAAGTTGTTATTGTTTGTTTACTCCTATAAACACAGCTCTTCCAAGTTGCCTGGTGGTCCTTATGAAGTCCTGAATTCAATTTTACAAATAGAATATGAGTTTATCTTACATTTATTGATTGATTTTAGGAAACTTCCCAGTGGAAGGAGAAACTTGACTTTCTTTCTGAACTTTCTTGAATGGGTAAAAACGTGTTAATATCTTGTAGAGCCCAGTGTGTTGGTTGGCCAATATTGGCCTAGAAACATCAATATTGGTGTCACTGCAACATTTATCCAGCAGAGTGCACTGAGATTTCCAACACTGGAACAAGCGGCACAGAGTAAGCGAGAAGAAACAGCTCTCATCAATGTCAACTAGAATCAATTGACAATGTATATGTTAAATTATTTTAGTTAAATATTCCTGTAGGAAGATATTTAACTTAAATAGTCTTTAATACAGTTATTTGTTTAAGACAGCAGCATTCTTGGTACCTTTTGTATAGATATATCAGTGATAAATTGGTGCACAATCCTCATAGAAAGTATTAAATGTCTCACAAAGGTCTTTATAAAGTATTAAGAAGTACGCTGTGATCACTTTACTGCCCAATTTTGTATCGCGGTATTGTCGTTATTAATACAGATGTAGCTGCTTTTGTCTGTACTGATGTTGCTTTGTCTGCAGTTTTCTGAGTCAGACCGTCCACCTGTTGAATGAGGACGAGAGCCTTTACTGTATCTCCGCCTGGAACGACCAGGTGAGCGCCAACTGCTTCACCCACCTCCTCCCAAAGCCTCCACTCTCCCCCCTGTCTATCTCTTTAATGTGACTTCTCTGTCCACTCTTTTGACCTTCTCTTTTACACGTAGTTCAGACAGCAACAAGCCTGACGACTTACAGGATATTGTCATCCTGTTGAGATACAGGGGGGGTGTCTGTGGCTGTTTACAGTTGCGTAACTGTCGTCTAAATGTCTGGGATCCTTTTTTATACATTTCAGGATTGTTTGGAGTGACCTTAACAAAAGAACATGTGATGAGGTGATCTATCTGTTTTCTAACCCGAGGGTGTAATGTAACATTGTACACAGTGGGGTGGGGGGAGCACCACAGGATCTGCTGCTAAACATAGAACACATCTCCCATTCTCTGGTTTCTCTCCCAGTTTAATATTCCTCCTGCCTCAGTGGGGTTTCATTCATTTCCTACCCACTGATGACCCACGGGAAGACTTGATGCCCACAGAAACGCTGCGTGTGTCACTGACAGCTGTCGTTGTTGTTGTTGTACAGGGCTACGAGCACACAGCGGAGGACCCGGCCCTGCTGTACAGAGTGGAGAGTATGCCCGGCCTGGGCTGGGTGCTGAAGAAGACCCTCTACAAGGACGAACTGGAGCCAAAGTGGCCGACACCTGAGAAGGTGCAGGAGTTTTCCTTTCTGAATTTACAGAACTCAAACCTGTGATTCTGAGTGTTTTCCTACACTAGTTAAAGGTCGCGTATATATTACATCCTTGCTGACGAGTTTTCAAATCAAACCAGATAGATTTCCAACCTTCCCGTCAGGAAGGCGGACTAAATTACTCGGATTTAGTTATCATTGTTATTTATGTATTCCTGTATTGACTAGAGCTATAAGATGTGATGTTTATACAGCATGTTGTGCTGCTTTCAAGTGGCCAAATGAATGCAGCTTTAAGTATATCACATGTGACCAACACTTACACTACGCTCTATTGTTAGAAGTAAAACAACACACAACACAACAAGGAATATAAGGAAGGAAATCAGTCTAGAAATGATGGTATAATTTGGTAAATAGGCCACAACAATGCAAAAAGTATACACGAGGAGTTCAGTGAAAAACCACCTGCATGGTACTTTTAAATGTGTGTGAGACTGAAGATGTAATGAACTGTGTTTTATGTCTCGTAGCTATGGGACTGGGACATGTGGATGCGAATGCCGGAGCAGCGGAAAGGCCGAGAGTGCATCATCCCCGACGTGTCGCGATCTTACCACTTCGGCATCATCGGCCTTAACATGAACGGCTACTTCCATGTAAGAGCTCAAAGAAAAATGTTTTTTTTAAAAATGTTTTAATGTTGCCTGTCCCATTCTCGTACAGTAAATGTGATAGCGTCCACTTGGACTTAAGGATGGACTGAATCGAAAGCTCAAGGTCACTGCAACCTCACAAAACACGTTTTGGCCATAACCCACAAATTCACATGCTAGTTATAATAATTTCAAACGTGTCTAAAAGGCTCCGGTACAAGTTGTAATGATAAAACATGATTTGCATTAAAACCATAAAGGTGTATAGCACCTAGACTACAGCTAACCACTATAATTTGGTTTAAGCTTACAAAGGAGATCTATCAGCACTGTCGCAGACAACATATAACTTTGTGATGTTTTTCTTCATTTTCAAGGTGAAACTCAACCTGACAGTATATAGCTTTTTTAGTCAGTCTGATTCATCCTGTCTTTTCTGTCTCATAGGAGGTATATTTCAAGAAGCACAAGTTCAACACTGTTCCCAATGTGCAGCTAAAGAATGTTGACAGGTGTGTACAAGCAGGTTGTTTGATTTCTGTTCCCTAATATGCTGTTTTCCATACTATGAGCTCTTGGACTGTTTGTGGAAAAGGATTTGGCAACACTGTGACAGTCTTCTGTTCTTCACAGCTTAAAGAAGGATGCTTATGAAGTGGAGATCCAGAACCTGCTGAAGTGAGTGAGACACAGACGAGACACTGAGCCTGCAGGTGATTTAGACATGAGAAAGTTTAGATGGATTATTGTGTGTGTGTGTGTGTGTGTGTGATCCCAGGGAAGCGGAGGTGCTGGACCACACTAAGAACCCGTGTGACGACTCGTTCCTGCCGGACTCTGAGGGGAAGACCTACGTCATGTTCATTAAGATGGAGACAGAGACGGACACATCCACCTGGACAGAGCTCGCCAAGGTACGGAAGTCAGAGCAGGAGCACTGGTTGGTGGACTTTTTAAGAGGTCCAAGTCAGGTCACTTCCATTTTTGTCTTTTTTGTTGTTCATATTGTATCTTAAACTTCTCACCATCACAAGAAGCTAATGAAATGAACCCTAGCCTGCCATCAGGAACAGGCTCATTCAAAGCATTCTCGTCCCTCTGTCGTCTGCTCAGTGCCTCCATGTTTGGGACCTGGATGTTCGGGGAAACCACAGAGGCCTGTGGAGGCTCTTCAGAAAAAGGAATCAGGTCCTGGTGGTGGCGGTGCCAATCTCCCCATACTCGTAAGTAAAGCTTGAATTGTACACATCCAGCTACGCAGACAGACACCCAATGGCAGTTAAAGCAGCACTTTCATCTGATAGTAACGGTTGCTGACCCCTAATCTACTTAAATAAGCTTCCTAGTGTCTTTTTTTTGTCTTCTGTATCTTACTTCAGTTTAATTAATTTGTAGTAAAGCAGCAACAATTCTTCATCTTTGTTTCTGTCTCTGAACCTTTTTTTATTTACCTGAAGTATAGAAAAGATAACAATCCCCATTCCACATGTCACTACTGTCCCTTTCTTATCTTGTCCATCTCTTTGTCTCATGACCAGGGTGAAGAAACCAGCCGCTGTCACTCCCATTCACTTAGAGCCTCCGCCCAAAGAAGAGGGAGCCCCGGTGGAGCAGATGTAGACCTGATGTTACACCCACGAACAACCAGCCCAGGCCTTATCTCTTGTCCTCTCTCCACCAACAACCACTAATAATCCAGCCTGGGACCCACAACTACAACACTGACTTTTCCTAGATGTTGAAGGTACGAGAGGATACCTGGGAAATGGAGTCCTGACTTTTTTTTTCTTCCTTTTTCTTTTTCAAACTAAAGAGGGATTAACACTACAAACAAACTGAACTACGAAATCCGTCCAACAGCTCGAGGAGGAGCGGCGACACTAAAACCAGTTTCGGTTAAAACGCGAAAAACAACCAAAACCGTACGTGACGGTAGACAGCTGCCTTTTTCCGTTTCCATGACGACTGGGTTGATCCGCAGCCTGTTGAGTTTCAGTTCGAGCTGCGACTTCTCAACAAGAACGGTAGAAAAATGACACAAACACACGTTTTCTGCTTGGTTTGTTGTGTTTTTTCACTACTGAGTGCTTTGACCATTTTGTACATACGTTTTAACTTATCTCTATTTATTTTACATCTGTCAATCAAAATGGTGGTTTGGTGGTTTGCATTTTGTTTTTTTTAAAAGATCCACTTTTATCAAGATAAATGCATTTTTTAAGAGCCTAACGTTTACAGATACTGAAATAATAATGTATATACACGCGTATATATTTTTTGATGAAAAATCTAAAGGGTCAGCATATTTTTCGGCATTAGATATTGAGTTTGAGTGAAAGAGTTGATAACAGCCCTGTGGGTTTTTACTATTATTGACTGCTTGGGTCAGTTGCCTCGTATCAGGTTTTATGAGGGAAATTCAATGGTGGCTGAAAGGGACAAAAATGTAAACATATTCACAGATTTAGCAGCAAACTCTGCGATTAGAAACATGGTAAACACCGTAATGTGTACTCTGATTGTACCGCAGTGATTCTTTCCACTGACAGAAAAAACTATCCATCTTTGTTCAGATACTTCCTGATTTAAATTAGTTTAAATCCAGTTTGTGGCTAGCTTTATGTCATAAAAAGTTATTTCTTAAAGTTAGGTACCAGGAAGAGTAAAACAAGTATTTTTTGTGCCCGTATTGAAAGTCCTCAAAATCAGCATTGAAAATTTTTACATTTACAAAATAAGTGGAAAATCAAAGTTTTATACTAAATTCAGTTTGTAATTTTATTATTTTCTTCAAATGTTGCTTTTATTCTTAAAAAAAAAAAAACCCAAGACTCACTCACTGCAGCGTCGTACTTTCTACGTTCCTGAATGCAGCGTTTGTGTCAAACCTGTGAACAATGAGCTCGTTCTCTCAGTGTGCAGTTTTGGCTTCTCTCAGCCACCATAGAGCTGGAGGCTCTATCACTTGAACAGAAAGCAGCGACTTTAGCCGCGTTGCACGCTCGTCATAGAGGCAGAATACACAAAGCCCATCTGGGTGTTTGCAGGCTACAGCTAACTGTCAGACTGCTTCATGTGTGACTTTAATCCACAGCTGTCACTGACCAGAAAACAACAGCGGTAACTCGTCTTTGTTGCGTCTAACGATGTGAGCAATGTGTTTGTTATTTGCCTTATTGTTTCGTTGTGTCCTTCATCGTGCTGGAAGTGTTGGGAGGTTTGTTCTAACATATCACCTGCTAGTTGAACAACCAGACCGATACTCTGAGACGATGAAATGGTGAAAATCTTTCCACAGAAACGAAGTGTGATTGCTGCTATTGTATTCGGTCCATTGTTTCAAGATCAACTTAGATACCTTTTCAAAATAAGAGTTTTTCTCATTGTCTAGACGTAAGAGATACATTATGATTCTGTGGTTCTCATTGAATTTTGAAACAATTGAATTATCTTGTTATCTGGAGATTAAAGACTAGTCATTCTAATAATTAATCCAGATTTCCTAATTAAGAGATAAGGTCTTAGTTACTTGACAACATCTCCTCTGTATTCTTTGATGAATGCAGAATGTTCTCTACAACTGACCTCAAACACTAAAATCATGGATGAATTATTTCCTACCACAGTTAATTTAAAAGGGACTGATAATCAGTAATAAGCTGTTTATAAAGACTTAATAACACCATTATATAACAGACAGAAGTGTTTAATAATGTCAGTAAAAAAAACCTGAAGCATCTGTCCATTTTTCTTTACATAAAAACAATCAGTTTGACCTTTTTGTCTTCAGTATTTGTTTATACAGTGGTTACAGATGCTTCATTGATTAGTAATGTATTTGACAATAACTAAACACTTATTGAAAGTTCTGCTTCCAAGGAAATTACAGTGTTACAGATATCCATCAATGGTTAATATACTGCTTAATATATAGGTATTAATTGGGGGATTATATCTGCGCCCATCCCATCTGTGTTCTGACCATTTCAAAGTGTTTTTATGTGAGGAGGAGAGTCCGTTTCACCTACTTCACCCTGGCTTTTAATTGATTTCCAGCTGACGTTACACTGTACCGACTAAATGAATGAGTGTGTGTGCATCACGTTTCAATGCAGCTCGATCAGTATTTGCAGAGTGGTTCGGTTTCAATGTTTGTGAAAAACCACACATGTGCATTCAGATAACCCTGGCTGAGAGAACCGCTTATTCAGCAGTATTACAACCCGTGTCGTGACTGAAATAACATCCGTTTGTGTCCTGGAAATTTCTGTTTGGTTTTAAGAAAATGAAGATGTAGAATCTGCCCATTTTTAAAAAAAACTACTGATTCATTTCAGTCTGGTTTTTGTACGCGTGCTTGTCTGTGAAATCGAAAGAGTAAAACTAAACCACTGTCCCCGAGCAATACAGTTGATTTTATTGAATGCTGTGAGATCATTCTGAAAATCCTGGTGTGTGTGTGTGTGTGTGTGTGTGTGTGTGTGTGTGTGTGTGTGTGTGTGTGTGTGTGTGTGTGTGTGTGTGTGTGTGTGTGTGTGTGTGTGTGTGTGTGTTTTTTTTTTTGTGTGTGTGTGTGTGTGTGTGTGTGTGTGTGTGTGTGTGTGTGTGTGTGTGTGACAATGAGAATCTGTGGACATACTGTAAGTTTTTGAGTTTCTTTATCTTTTGTCATGGAAATGAATAAAGATGATTTTTTTCCTGAGAATTCATGTGGTGCTCCTTTTTTTGAGGCAGTATGTCGTTGAAAATATTTCATACAGTAGGAATTATTGTTATTCATGGAATAAACTTGGAGCGATTGTTATTCTTAGCTCAGGCTCTTGGACTCGTGTAGCCTTGTGCTTCCTGCAGATTTCCCAAGAGAGCTCCAGGCAAAGCAACGGTGAGAAGAAACGTATGCAGCGAGGGAAATGTATGCAAATCCTCGGGGCTCGGTGGGTTGCTGGAGCCGCTGCGGTCTACCAAGGGCAAATGTGGCTTCCTGCCCTCTGAGCTCGGACTTTCACAGCCTTTGACTACGGCTCTGCAGAGACTTGAGTTCAGTAATCATCACAGTCAGCTTTTACTACTGCCAAACATCTACTGTTTGGTAATCCACTGCAGAGGTTTTAAAAGTTATAATTGAATCGGAAAACATGAAAATGAATATGTATATTATTTTGGGACACAAGCTCCCAGGACGCCCTGACGTTGGGGCTGTAGTTCGGACAGTGTGAGCTCCTCTCCGTGGATAAGTCAAGTCCAAGTTAAGTCATTTGATGAGTCTAAAGTAAAAAATAAAAAGTTCTCGGAGCATTACGCAGAAACGATCCCATGGCAGTGCATTTCAATGATCCTCGCCACGATGTGTCCTCATTACGTTTCTGGTATCGAACAGGTCACCCTACCACCGAGGGGCGGTGATCATGACAAACTACTCAAACAGCAGGAGGCTAACTGGATCCACACTCTTCAAACGCTGGCGCCGAAGGGACTGAATGATGAATTACTTCCTGTGATCTTTTATATGGATTTTTTTTCCCTGAATATATTTTTCTGTATATATATATATATTTATTTTCCCTTTGCTCGAGACAGGATACATGGAGATGTGTACAAAGACTCTCAGGGTCATTTAGAAATGTCACCTCCTGTTTATGGCCATTTACATGTTTGTTGAGGTTTATTGAGGCTCATGCGTTCAGTGCATACTTGGAGCCTATGAGATATGTTAATGAATGTTGATCTGACAGAGAAATGTGATTATTGTTATTTAACATACAGAGATTTTTACATTCTATTTTTTTTATAGTGGCTGTGCCCACTCTGTGTGTACTGGTGGTAGTATGGTCTATTCAGCTCCATACATGTGTTTTGGAGGCTGTCACATGGAGAACTGATGTCATTAATGCCTTCCTACTGCAGTGGGGAATGACTGTTTGCAGGTGTGTAGCCGCTCCCTATTTTAAGATGGGACCGTGCGTTTGCTGTGTCAACTCCTAAATTATGGAATGATCTGCCTCTGCACGTTAAACAGGCTTCCTCTCTGTCTGTTTTTAAATCCCGTCTTAAAACCCATCTCTTCTCTGTGGCCTTTGACACCTAGCAAGATGTCGACTTTATTTACTTGATTTAATTTCTTATTGTGATTGCTTTTATTGCGTGGTTATTATTTTTACTCATGTTTTATGTCTTTTCATTTATTGTATGTTATATGTAATTTTGCGCCTTATGTGAGCTGTTATGTCTTTTATTTACGATGTCTTATTTATTCTTCTGTACAGCACTTTGGTCAACTTTGGTTGTTTTAAAGTGCTTAACAAATAAAGTTGGATTGGATTGGATGGCTTATTATAATGTTGCAAATGAATGTTTGTATTGCATGAACATTAATATGACACAGCAACTAAAATGTTCCTGTCAAAACTGTCAAAATGTTTGCATTATTTGAGACCGAGTCCTTTCCTAGTGGTTAAATATTCAAACCAGTCAGTGACTGTCTTATTTTATTGTTTATTTATATGGTTACCGGTCTCAAATCTAATGCACATCAAGTCTTAACTTCACATTTGCAACTTTAAAGGTTATATTTATGAAATTCACTTGCCACTGGATGTCACACTGGAGCAGCAGCCTCTCAGAAAAATCCAGACTCCATTGACAAAACCGGTAATTTTACCTACCTAACTTAAGATTTGTCCACTGTAAAACTTAAAGGCAGAGTCTCAATGAGACGCAGGTCCCCTTTAGTAGCCTGCTGTGGCAATGTGTTACGACAAATAAACACAAGTCTCAATTAAACCTTTTAAAGCTCACCAGGTCACCCACACCTGAGTATATGTAATGGAAATGGTATTCAGTGTGATATGTTACACAATTAATATGCATACTGGTACAAATACACAATTTGATTGTATTTCCCATTTTTGCTGAGCCAGAGTTTTGTGCAAAAGGAATTAAAAGCCTGCCCCATATAGAGGCCTGTCCCAAATAAAAGCCCAGGCTATTCATTTAAAATGTGGTTGTCTTTTCAACATAGATTAGCCGAAAGAAGGAAGTTGACCGAGTTTTGACCGAAGCTTGCTCAACTGTTATTGGAGCACATGGCAAAAAGGGGCGGGGCTTAGGAAAAGTCAATTCATCTGATATAACAGCTCAGGGGGGCATAAACACTCCGTCCGTTATCCGTCTCATCATGAGGTAACACGCTGCTGTTTCTGAAGCCCGTCACGTGTCTGTGAGCTGATGTCACTGTTTGTGTTTATGAACCTGTCCGCTGGAAATAAATTTGCATCAGAGGTCTAATTAAGATGGATTTTCTGACTGAGCGTAGAGTAATAACAGATGTGTGTGTTACTGTGTGTGTGTGCGTGTGTGTGTGTTATACACTAACTGACAGAGCCAACAGGGTCATGTGGCTTTTTTTTTTTAACAATGCATTTGTTTGATTGTCTACACATACACACACACACACACACACACACACACACACACACTTGTCCGTCATCACTGGCTCCAGCTCCAAACCCGGTCATTTGTGCCTGTCAGTCAGAAGTCGCTGGTTCGTATCAGGTGTGTGTGTGTGTGTGTGTGTGTGTGTGTGTGTGTGTTTGTGTTGTGTGTGTGTGTGTGTGTGTGTGTGTGTGTGTGTGTGTGTGTGTGTGTGCGTTTGCCGCCTTTTAAATGTCATTTTTGACCTATTGAGCATTCTGATGAGCCGAGCTCAGAGGCTGATGGCTGAGATGTAGATGGAATATTGATTTTGCGGTTGTGTGTGTGTGTGTGTGTGTGTGTGTGTGTGTGTGTGTGAGAGAGAGAGAGCTGGGGGTTATTGTTAAACATTGAGCTCAGCAGGACTGAGATGATGACAGATTTAACTCTAAATACCTCACAGGTTTATAATTGGATGGAAGAAGGAACACGGTTTGTCTCCGTGCTCCCTTTCTCTCCATTTCAGCGAGCCAGGACACACATTAGTGGACAGTCACAGCAGAATATATTATACAACAAGGGCTATTTTGTGTTATTGTATAATAAACACATATATAAAAAAAGAACAATCATGGAAAAAGATCAAATTAAATGAGCCACAACAGAAAGGTAGTTGTGTGCACATGTTCCTGCAGATGTTTCACATTAAAAGTCTAGTGGGAATTTTGCAGGGAATCTCCCATTATTGCTAAGATTTTTATTACTTTTTATTATCCTTATTTATTATCTTTATTATCGTTTACTTATTTCTTTTCTGGAACTTATGTTTCCTTCCCTTCATTCCTTCACACATGGGGACTCCCTAAAAACCCGGTACATGGCCTGGGGTGGTGCCCTACGTTCTGTGTCACAGAGCCTTCGTCACCTCGTATTGGGTCATTTCGCCACTTTTTGGATAAGTTAGCATGGAAGCGTCTCTCCAGATCGCACTGGCAGAAAGTCAGACACATAAACGGCATAAAGAATTTGGTCAGTTTTCAAAATAAAATACCTTGTGCAGGCTCCAGATCAAATCAACATTGTGGCACCAGACCAGAAGTCTGAGCTAGGACAGGAGATTTAACACCAACGACGACAAGAAGTTCATCTTAGAAGTGGAGACACACACCGTTTTGTATCCCTTTAAGGACAAAATACACCAGTCAGCAACATCGGAACATTCTGAAAGGCTCTCGATGAGTGAATCACGAAGCTACACCGCGTTGCAGACTCGACATCATAAAGCCGTGCTAGGTTAGATGTTTGCGCCTTGTGCTGCTGGCACAGCTTGAACTCGAGGTCCGTGGTTAATGTTAGACTTCCCAGCCGATTTTCTCTCTATGATTTTTTAACTCTACTCAGATGGAGTGTCTGTATTCTAATATCATGTAGTACTCAGGTTTACAGGCAGACTATTGATTACATAGGTGTTAGCAGATATACAAATTATAGGAAAACAGAATAGTGTATTCTGTATGCCTTCATACATGGCATGCATCTGATAAACTGATCTTATATTATATTGCATGTGAGTATTTCAGTGATTTAATATGAGTTCTGCTTACAGACAAGTGATGGCGCAGGTAGGTAAACAGATGTAACTCCAGGGTGAACTGACAGAAACAAGGGAACACAAAGACTAAACACACAGATGAGGGGAAGGATGAGCTGAAAGATGCTAAAAGGCTCAGGGGAGTTGAGGCGGGCTGCAGAGTTGGGTGATAATAATTCCCAGTGGGTTCTTCACTACGAGCAACACCTTTCACATTATGCACTGACATTTCATTCATTGTTAATATACATGTATTGATTAGTTCAGCGTTCAGAGTGACATTTACTGAACATTTTAAGCATCTCCTCTCAGAAACCTTTGAAATATAAATTATGGCTACCAGAATCATGTTTGACATTTTTGTCCTTGGAAGAATCAGTCTTGTACTTTTAGCATCATCCCCTTTGTGTGTTTTTATTCTCTTTCTGTTCATTTCTCTCTCTCGTCCTCTTCCTGCCAATCTGTTTCTCTCTCTCTCTCAAATGTCAGATTGGAATGAGCTTTATTGCCCCTACTCTCTCTCTCTCTCGTTGCAGTTTTCTCTTCCATCGTTTGAACAAAGCATCCGGTTGCTGGTTGAGCATTTGTGAATAAAGCACTAATTGAGGAGCGCTGCTGCTGCACGGCCAAACAACACTCCACCTCCTGTCTATTGACAAGCCTTTTATTGGTCAATATTCACTCAGCCTTGTCTCACAATGTGTGCAATCTTCAAGTGCAGGAGATGGCATATGAATAGTATATATACAGGACATAAGATGTACTGAGCTCCGCTGCTTCCTTTCACATGCATGGCCAATGAGGAAAAGGGCTTTAGATACATGTTTTTTACAGTCTTGTTCGTATTGAAAACGAGGTTAAAGTGTGGATTATAAGACGATTATGATCCTACATAGTGTAACAGTTCCCCTCATTTATTTATCCATTCATTCATTCTGCTATTCGGTTTTTCATTTCATTTTGTATCAATTGGAAACGTTCCTCTAGGTTGATTAGAGGTTCTTTTAGTTCATCTGTTGCATAGGGGGTGGGGACTGACTCATCAACAATGATGGAGAGCAGCTTGGTGGATCCCCTCTTGGCCAATCCGGGTGTGACAACGCCTATAAGAGAGATTGGGAACTGCTCACCCAGGGCCATTCTGATCTCTATTCAGAGTTGAACTATGAGACATAGTCAGCCTCTTTGCTGTCTCTTTTGTTGCCATGAAGTGTTTGCAATTTGTCACTAAACCCAGAGAGAATGTTGTGCCATTAGTGCCTGTACCAGGGCGGTCTGGTGTAATGTGTGCAAGAATTCTTTGCCACCCAATCACCTGCTGCCTTCAGGCTTACTTGTTTGTTTATGGTTTTGTTTTTATTAAACCACCTATCTATTTATTTACAATTATTATTATTAACTCATTATTTTATTTATTTAATCATTGAAGAGTACATTTTTTCATTGTTAAAATAAAGTCTGAGTGGGTTTTTTTATTTTTATTATGCGGCTGGGAACTGCTTCTCAGGCTCCTTTTCTTTGAGTTGAGACTTGGGGAATCAGTGCCGCCACAATAGGAGCAAGACACCCAAACCTTTTGTTTTTGTTCTTCTCTGGGGCCGTTTAGTGTCGCTTTGTGGTAATTTGATGTCACTTTGTGGACGTTAAGCATTGCTTTGTGGTCATTTTGTCTCACTTTATAGTAATTTACATCTTTGTGTCCTTTTGCATCTCTTTGTTCAGTCAGCAGGACCTAATTTCAATCATAATACCAAGAAAATATTCACTCTTGTAGAAAATGACTCTAGATACCCAAAATAACTCCTTATTTGCAACTTTATTTACACACATTTACACAAGGTATGGCTGCGGTTCAGGAGGTAGAGCGGTAGAAAACGTAACACGTGGTTTCGTTGCTCTCTCAGCTTGGAAAGTCGCTCACTGCTATCCGTATGTCAATGATATTGGACAATGTGAAGTGCTTTGGATGTAAGCGCTATGTATATAAATGCATCCACCTGATCAATGTAATATTCTCTATGTTCTCTCTCCTTTTTTAGCTCTGATTTGGTCTCCACCTACTCCTGAGAAAAATAAACAGCCCTTTAGCTGCTAAATGCTCCACTTTCTAAACAAACTAGTCTCTAACTCTCTCTTTGCTGATGGGCAGGTAGTGTACACTGGGTTTATCACAGCTTGTCTGATAGAAACAGAGTCCTGCTGCGGCTGAAAAACATCCAGAATGAACTAGACAGGAAGTGTACTTCAAAATATAACTGGGAGCTAAAAAGAAAAGGTGAGAAGTTTGTGCGGATTCAGAGCTACAAGCGAAACCTTTCATAATAAATGTAGTCATTTGATCCATTGTTAATATAAAATATATAAAAAAATATAAAAATTACTATTGATGAAAAGACTGAATAGTCTCAAGATCCCAAAAAAGAAAAATTACCAATGCTATCTGATATATTTTATTGGCAAATATGAAATATTTACACTCTGCCTGTGATTATAAACCTTTTTTTTACTATATATAAAATACAATCACTGGATTCTTTTCACCATAAACATGCCTTTATATTAAAGCTAAACATTTCCCTGTAAAAAGGGGGAACCAAAAAGAAAGAACACTACCCTGTGATTGTTAAATAATGCAGGTTAAAAATCCCACGGGATCTTTTCCCTGAAGGAGTCTCAGCTGACGCTCTTGTCCAGGTGGCAGTACAGGTACATGGACACTATCATGGCAGCAATCTGAGGAAACAACATAATACAAATGTTCATCTCTTTTTGGATAACATTCACTAAAACCAGGATGACTATTCAGTTAACCCATTCATGTCCACAGTGGAATTGTACAATTCCCTTTAGAGCACTTTAGAGTACCAGCTGAGCTAAGCACAGATCCATTGACATTGTCGCAGTGTACAGTGCAAGTTTTCTTAACACTATTTATTTTCATATAGCCATATTACAAATAACATATAAATTCATAAACACAATGATATTAATCAGTATTTATACATGGCTGAGAAAGCAAGGCACTAGCAGCAGCTCACATGGTGTGTTTGTTAATTAGTAATTTGTTAATTAGACTCATGCTGAGGAAATTTGCCTCCAGGATGTCTGAGGTTCTAATCCTCTCTTGCCAACATGCATGTTGGATAATAAAGTTATTACTAACCCTGACTTCATCCAAAACTCTGGTTTTACATTTAGAGTTTGTTGACCGGGATTTTTACTGGAGTGCACCAAAGTGAGCACACTTTCAAAAGGTTTGTCTTTTCTTTTCACATTATTTTACCTCCAAGACTCCTATTCCTGCTGCGATGCCTCCCACAATGTTGGCGTGTTCTTTGAGGGTCTCCAGGATTTGTTCGAAACAGCCCTGAGGAGTAAAGTGTTAGTCTAAATATCATTATCAGTTCTTGACAAATGTACAACAAATGAGGCATCAGTGGCCAAAAATGAGACATTCACTATATTGCAAACTAATAAATGTTCAGAGCATAGAAATTGCATTCAGAAGACATTCATGTCCCTCCTATATATGTCCATTACTCTGAGAGAGGTGTCTAATAGTTTGTCCATCCCATTTATACAAATGAGGGTTTATTAAATAGTAGGAGTGTAAAGATTTACCAACACTCGTCGAGAAATCGGTTTAACAATACAGATGCGACTACATCAGTATGCGGACCCTTAGATCAATCTAAATGTACCATGAAGTAGTTGATAGTCCGATTCTAAAGTTGTGAATCGGTTGACTGAAGCTTTGCTGCGAACAGCGTCTCCACTAGTGAAATGTGTGAGTGAAGTGTGGCTGAAGAAGTCGGTACATAAACAAACATGTCAGACAACGCTGATACGATTTACAGTGTACCGTCAAATCTAAAGTTTGGAAGACATTTGGATTCTATAAAAAGGAAGGAAAGTTGGACAAAAGTCTTTCCAGTGGTAACACAACAAATCTTAACACTCATGATGAGAAGTCTGTGGATGCTAATACAGCTAGCACAAGCAAGAACATGCAAATAAAGAAAAAAAATAGTTGGGTTCCCTGGCGTTTTATAAAATATATGTATTTAAAAGTAAGCAGTGTCACTTTTATAGAATTAGCTAGTTTAATTTAGAATGGAAACTGTTAGGAACTGTATCAGATGCATCCTATCGTATGAAATCACACTGTATTGTTCCGTATTAAAATGCATCGTCCCAAGCCCATGTATCTGGATACGTATCGGGATGTCTTAGAAAAGATGCACACTCCTACTAAATTGTAGTGGAGTTTTCCATCTCACCTGCACACCGCTGCGCTCTGCCTCGGCTGAGCTGCAGGGGGCGCTGTTGGTCCAGCAGCAGCTGGGCGGCAGACTGCCTCCGTTCTCCTTTTCAAACTTAGAGCCCACAAAGTCTGTGTAGTTGGTGAAACCACAGCACTTCAGCTGGGAGAGAGGAGGAAAACACGCTGTCAACACACAGCAGGAAAACTTTTGAGAAGAGTGTTCAGTGGGTTTTTATCCATCGCCGGTGTGCATTATTGTGAGTAAACTTTTGTCAGTGAAAGTTTACTAAGAGCCTTGCTGCTGCGTGAGTTCATGTTGGCATACAACATTCAAACAGATTCACTGTGTTGTATCTACAGAAAGTATTCAACTATTGCCAACAGTGTTATCTCAAGTAACCATGACACTGTTGCTGGGGCACCATATTGTAAAATAGCAAATAAAGCAAAAACGATTCGCTTGGCCCGATACAAAAAGGTGTAAGTGGGAATATGTGTTTTTTGTATAACGCAAGGTGAGACATTGTTTGTCAGTTTTATTAACGATGTAATAACCATTGTTAAACTGTCACACTATTGAGAATAAAAGGTTCTTTGTCAGCAAGATGGAAGTTCCCTGAGTTACCTTGACTGAAGCTATTGTGTGCAGGTGAGCTGAGGTAAACTAACACACAAAAGTAGACATATTATGCACAGCGAGTAGAGAAGAAATTCTGTTACTGCTTTTGTTGGATTTCAATTCATAAATTTTAACTTTGCCCTTAAGCCACAGGCAGTTTATCTCTTCTGTTTCATTAGTTCAGCTCAGTGAAGGACACAGCAGCACAGAGAGTACATTGAATTATTCTGTTAAATTAAGCCAGTTAAACCCTGCATGTTCCATTCCTTTCCAAGATACTGTGGTAATTTTAAAGTATTTACTATGCTGACAATAACTATAAAATGGCATAGGCAGCATGCAGACTGAAATGTAATGCTGGATGTAATGAATATGCACCACTATCTTATATTGTGCACACATGAATTATGGAATTATTTTATTGGAATTATTAATGGAGGTGCATTCAACAAAAACTCATATTGTTTGTTGCTATTTGTAGATTTAAAAAATGATAAACTGGCAGTAGTTTTGGTTGGAGCACATGTTGTGTAACTTTATGATTCTAATATAATAACTGATAAAAACACTGCCAACATTATACTGTAAGTTAATTAAACTATAAGTTTTAATATTTGTTGGAGAGTCCTTCAAGGCACCACAGATAAGACACAAAACACTTCCTGCATGCAACTAGTTAAGACCTAAGACGTGCAAAACCAGTTCTGAACATGTTGAAAACAAACAGTATGATAAAGTGCAGGTCTTGAGAGATGTTGTACCTCTGTCATGGTGGTGTTCCAGATCTTAGTTACCACAGGCTCACTGCCATAATCTTTCTGTAGAGCGGGGGTCGCCCACGCTTTGAGGATCCCCTCAGCCTGAGGAAAACACACACACACACACACACACACACACACACACACACACACACACACACACACACACACACACACGCATAAGGACTCTCATTGACCTGTATTGCCTGGCCTCTAACTTCAGTGTGAACTCAATTGGAACTTAAGGACAGACCTAGAAGTCTTCACTTTTCAAAAATGTCCTCAGTTGCCAAAAATATCCTCACTTTCCAAAATGTTCGTATTTTACAAAAAAACTATAATTAAAAACAAATAAATCATAAATAATATCAAAAGTTTGCCAAAAATGTCCCCACTTAAAAAAAATCCCAATTTTCCCAATTTGTCCTCATTGTCCTTTATATTGCCAATTTCTATCAAATTTGTCCTGGCTTTCCAAAACTTGTTTTCATCTGTTTAAATTGTCTAAATCTCACCATAATATTTTTACTTTGCTAAAATGTTGCATACCCAAATAATTTCCTAAGTTTTGTTTTCCAAAATATTCTCCCTTTCAAATTACTTAGCCTGGCTCCATCAAAGGTTTTTAAAAAAAAAAAAAATCAACAGTGTTTATTCACAAATATTTTGTTTGCACACACCCTGGCATTTAGGAGAATACGGGACCTGCGGAGGCCCCCGCCACAGTGTCTCACGCGAGCACAAGCTTTACTGTGCTGTGTACTGATAAACCCATGGCGCTTTCCGTGGTGCTGAAGTAGCAGCCGATTTGTATTGACCTTCTCTCTAACGCCCTGCTGTCAGTTTATCTTTGAGCAACCTTTTTGGTGGCAATGACCCCCATATTGATAGACATCAGCCCGCGGACATATATTTGAAGAAATGTGGTCTCAAGGATCCCCATCTGACAATAAGTCTGTACTGTCGATTAGCAGATTTTCGGCAAAGAGTGTGAAACCTATGAACAGAAAAGTAATTCTTACACATTCTCTCATTGGGTTATCTTCTAGCCATTGAAATAATAGGCTGAGAGCCACTGCTCTAAACTATAAATGCTATATTGTAGCCTATATACTCTATAGACCAGTGTCACTTTCATGATCAAAGTGACAAGTAGCAATGTATACAGGCTCCCATCGGGCCATTCTTTAAAAATGACCAAATCTCCGACTAGCACTTCACACTGTCTCTGTTAGAGTCCTGTATGTAGATGAGAGGCCTTATGATGCAAATACGCTTCCATGGATGGATGTAAAAGCACATAACTGCACTGGGGAGCTCTTAGCATCAAAGTCCAACAGTCTCACACATACGCACACACTTAAGTATACACACACAGCACTGTGAAAGCCCCTGAAAATAAAACACTGCAGCTGATTTCACGGGCAGGAAAGGTAATTCTCTTGGAGTCACCTATTCATCAGAAATTAAATAAATCTTCTCTCACACAAAGCACTGGGGAAATAAACAGCCCCGGCTTGGCACCTGGAAAAAAATGAAAATAAATCAAAAATTGACCGGGCCATTATTCTCCATTCTTCTTCTCTTTTTTTATGGTCGTAAACTGGGGGGCATTTACATATATATTGATGCCCCTGATGGCTTTGGTCAGGACACATTTTGTCTGCTATTTGTGTTTATCTAGTGTGCAAAAAAGGCAGGTTGTATTTCAGGCAGGTGGAGAGTCTTTTGTTGTGAAAGAATTCCTTCACGAACACACAGGTTAGCCTCCCCCTTCCTTACCCTCCTCCCTTCCTCAGTCTGTTTTTTCCATTTTGATTAATAATCCCATCGCGTACAGTCACACAAAGACCCATTTGATGAGGAGGGCGAGTGTGTAGTTTACTCTATGTGCACGTGTCTATTAGCTTTATGTGTCTGAAAGTGCGATTTTTTTTTTTCCTCTGTGTGTGTACGCGTGTGTGTACAGTGAAGGGGGCAGGCGTGCGAGATGCCCAAGGGGATGCTGGGATACATGCCACAATTAAAAGTGCCCCCCAAGAAGCTGGGAGAGCGGCTGAGATCAGAGAGGGTTATTACCAGCCGGCTAATTCATCACTGTCACTCGGCCCTGCACCTCACCACATCCCGTTAAACACACACTCGCACATGCTTACACACTGATATGGGCCCCTACAAACACACACGCGCGCACACACACACACACACATATGGGGGACAGACAGGACAAAGCCAGTAGTAACACACAGCACAGTGAGGCGATAACACATCTATCAATACAGTGAACGCCTTCTACACACACGTGATAAAATCTTCAGCTCGTTATTGATCTCTTGTTGCTTTACAGAGCATTGTTGTTTTTGAAATAATTATCAATATCGTTTACTGCGGTGACTCGCCGGCTGCTAATTGGTTATTGTTCTTTAGAGGAAAAGCAATAAATGAAAACCTTATTACATTCAGCTGAGAGTTGCTTTGTTATAAGACAAGGACATGCTTGGAGGCATCCACCTGTTTGTGTGCTTACATACAATTTGAAAAATAATTCAAAAAGCAACTCTGCAGAAACATGAGGGAAAAAAGATGCAATAAAGGGTGACAGAAATAAATATTTTGAAAACACCTTGACATAAATGTTTCTGCTTCATCTACTGTGGACAAAGCCCCAGTTTGTGCCCCTCATTTCTTATCATTCCATTCAAGTCACAGAGCGAAGCATCAGTTGAAGAATCCCTCAAAGACTCTTCTGGCCATCTGGATGAAGAAAGATTCCAACTCCTGCACAATATAAAGGAAAAATATGTCTTTGTTCATATTAGATCTGTAACTTGCAGCTGAGGGAGTATGTGTCACTTTCAACAGCCAGTTGAAAGTTGCCAGGCAGCATGTGTAGCCATCGGCATACCTCCTGCAGACAGTGTTTCTTTTGTCCACCCGACGAATACCCTCGAGGCATCTTGGGGGACCAAACGTGTACATTCTGCTTATTTGACTTGTTTGATTCTCAATATATCCGTCAGTTATGTTTATGTTTAAAATTCCATGATCCCCTTTATTGTAAGGTGTATCAGGACTTTTTTTCCTATAAAACTATGTCCCAATATGAGGACACAGGGTTGTAGGAGGCTATACTAAAACCAGGTTCCAGGTGCCCTGCAGCTCGGAGGAGGAAGAAGAGGAGGAGGAGGAAGAAGAGGAAGAGGCAATGGAGGATGACACCTCTACATGGAGAAAAAAAAAAGGGGGAAATCCTGTCTCCCACACATGAAGAGTCCCTGCCATTTGCCCAGAGGACCGTCTGCAGCCAGCCTGGTCCTACAAGCCTGGGGCCAGGTCTATGGTCAGGAGGAGGAAGAGGAGGAGGAGGAGCCATAGCCAGGGCCCTCCAGAAAGCAGAGGCAGTGTGTCTTGTGCCCACAGCGCAGAAGGGTGTGGACAAAAGTGTGCCAAATGTGGAGCACATGCATGTAAAATGCACCTCAAATCTGTGGTTTATGCCTTGAATTGTGAACACACGACAGTACATATGACATGTTATGACAAAAAGGGCATAGAAACATAAAAAAATATAAAAAAAATAAAAACTTTATATCTATGGTTAGGTCTCAATTTGTTGAAAAGATTTGATGCTGTGAAAGTGAAGAAATATTTATATATGACATTTTTATTACACTTTTATGAGGGAACATTTTGGGACCCAAGGTTAAAAAGTGTATCTTCATTTTAAAGGTGCCTCAAGGGTTAAGTCTTATATTCCAACACAGTATCACACCAAAGGTGGTCCACTGTGGCAATGTCACATTTTGTCACATAAAGGTGTAGCAATGTCACGTTTTCAACATTTCAACAATATGCAACATCTTTTCTCACAGTGGTCTCCTGGGTGAGAGTCTGGATGGACTCTTCCACCCCATTACCCTCCCTACACTGACTATCACTGGTGACTGTCACCTTTTACACTGCTCCTTCATACACTGATAGTTTATTCTAATGGATTGGCTTGTCTATTACACACTTTGGTGTGATTCACATTTATTTCAGCTCTGTTTTTGTCCTCCAACAACTCATGAGAAAAACATCTGGCTCATCTAATTGGCATTAAAGGAACCACACGAAGCTGGTTTAAGTCCTGTTTCTGAGATCAATCTTAGTTTGTACATGTTAACGGTGAACCCTCCATGCATGCCAAAGTTAGTCATGGAGTTCCACAAGGTTCTGTGCTCAGACCAATTCAATTAACCTTATACCGTATATGCTTCCGTTAGGCAACATTATTAGGAATCACTCCATTAACTTTCATTGATATGCAGATGATACCCAATTATATCTATCGATTTGGTGTCATACGAATAAAATTGAATTAAATTTAGCTGCTATAATTATTGTGTGTCCATGTTCACCAGCTGCTGCTGCTGGAAAGACTGAGACTGAAACAGAAACAAAACAGCAAAACCAAAACAATGAGCTGAAAGATGTTAAAATGCTCCATTTAGATGAGGGAAGTACAGCATTGATGATAATTCTCTGTGGGTTCGTTATGCATGACCCCTTTCACACACACAATCATTTTATCCATTTTTGGTGGTATTGATTGGTGCAGCTTTGAAGCAAAAGTAATTGGAGTTAATCATCTCACATTATGAGATATTAGAGCAAACAGCAGTCTGTATTGATTACGTTTTGGGAAAACATTCCTTTACTGTGCATGGAGGTCGGTGTGATTCATTAAACGCCATATCACATCTCATTCATCCACTATGAAGTCCATATCAGTCCCAGTAATAAATCTCCACCCTGGCCACTTCCGATTCACTTGGCGGAGAAAGAACAACCATGACCACTGACGGCCTCTCATAATGCCTGCTGGAATTGCTTATTAAATCTCAGTTATTCCGACCACCTGAAGGGTTATTGGCTCTTTGGTTAGATGAGCTGCGGGGGCCGGTGGCCAAAAGGCAGATTTATGCTGCAGATAAGAAGAGCAGAATAGATCAATGCTTTATTTATTGTCTCCTTTCATTGTCTATGCCTCTGTCTCTTGCTTATTGACACAGGCAGCTATATATATGCATATTAGATGTATATTGCCCATATTCATTATTCTTATGCTATTGTGTTTACTGTGTCTTATCAAAAGCAGGAGATGGACAGCTGCTCTCACACACTCATATCCGTGATGGAACTGACGGTGTCCTTTGTGTTTGAAATGAACAGATGATGCTTAAGCTAACAAACAGAGCGTTAAATTGACTCTAAACCATATCTATGATCTCCTTAAGGAAGACAAATATATGAGTTATGTCTTGCATTTCATTGAGCTTTAGACAATAGCTCTCTCTCTCTCTCTCTCTCTCTCTCTCTCTCTCTCTGGCTGTTGTCGATTCACCTCTCACCAGCTGCCGTTTACATCACTTGCCTTGGTTAGCTCTGCTTTTGTAAATGAAAGGCAAGAGATGGGGCAGATTTATCTCAACAAAACTGCCTCAGCAGCAGCAGCGCTCCAAACTCAGTGTCCAAGGACACACACACACAAAAACACACACACACACACACACACACACACACACACACACACACACACACACACACACACACATCCTTGTGTTAGTATATTTGTGGGGACCAATCATTGACATAATGCATACAATTTGAGCTTCTCTTACCCTAACCTTAACCACCACAACCAGTACGTAACAGGGCAGCAGTAGCTCAGTCCATAGGGACTTGTCTTGGGATACGGTGCCAGCAACCAGAGGGTCATCTCTCCACATTTGTATGTCCATGAGCCCTGTTTGTGCATGTGTGGTTTTAAGGATTTTGTTATTGTTTATATGTGTGTGAAAATTCAACGGGGGAAAAAACCAGCTAAAACAGCCTTTTAAACTTCTGGGTCCAGCATTTTGGTCCCCACAAAGCTGTTGGACCCAACAAGTATAGTGGCCCCACGAATATAGTAAAACAAGTCCCAAGGATTGGACAGAACCAGATTTAATTTGATTACTGAGAGAAAGAATAACTTAGAAACACACAGGTGTTTTTCCACCAAATTGCACAATGCACAACAACCTGTAGAATATGACACACCCCCTTTGGTTCCCAAGGAAAACCAGCTATTTTTTGGTTCCAGCTGGGAAACAACTTTTTGGTTTCTGAACCAATTTATTTTTGGTCGAAATGCTCCACAACGGTTAGGTAAGCAAACTAGGGACCTGTACACGTTACAAAAAAACATAATTCTTGTTGTTTCTGTCTATAACTGAGTACTAAAAACTTGCAGTGAAATTATTTTAAACTGTCTCCAACAAAAATCAACAAGAATTTTCTAGTAACAGTTTATAGAAAAGTAGGGCTGAACACCGAATTGATGCTCCCACAGAAGATTTGGGGCAGGTTGAATGTTTGTGCAGAGTGCAGCTGCTGCTCAAACTGGTTTACCAACAGTATCAGCGCAGACAAACAAAATTGCCAGGCAGTGCAGTCTGCTCTCCTCTGTTCATCAGCTTCTCCTTGCAGATGGATGCTTGTTAGATTACCTCTCTTGCTCCCGGGGACTCTGATACAACCTCTGATTGGATAAAAAACTCCACTTTCTACGTTCTTTATTAGGATCCCAGTCTCCACTAACCTCCTTTTACATAGCTCATTTGAAATCCTTGTAATTATTATATGTGGCACTAAATGGAAATGGAGCACATGTGTGTGCATGTGTGTGTGAGAGAGAAGGAGGGGGGCACATATGTAAATAGGCTGTTTTGCATATAAAATGCTTTAGCTTCAATATTCCAGAATAATAAATTGCTCAAAGTTAGAGACAGCGCACACGGCCCCGGGCTATTCCAGAGTCATTAAGTAGCCGAATGTAGTGAGGCGGACATAAAGCCAGTAATTCAATGATGGCCGCAGCTATAATGGAGAATTTACATGGAGATAAAATCCAGAGAGTGGGACGAGGAGGTGAGAGGGTGACAGAGAAAGACAGGGAGGGACGAGAAGCATTAGGAGACAAAGGAAAGGGAGTAAAGAGGAGGAGTGGTGGAAGAGAAAGAGGCATGGGAGATTGGTGGGAGGAGGGCAGTGCGATGAGGCAGTGAATGAAAAGAAAGAGGATAAGGTGAAGTGGGGAACTTACAAATGAGGAGTAGGCCAGAGCCACGACTCCGGCTGCTACTTCAGCGATGAATATGATGAGGATGATGGAGAAGAACTGCAGGGAGGGAAGAAGAGGAGAGAGTTTTTTTCTTAATATGAGAATCTTTTATCTTTTATCAAGTAGTTTTCCAAAAGTGTAAAAAAGGTCAAAAAGTCTGATTGAAAAATATTTTTTTATTTTGTAATTTGTCAAGCAAAAGTGCCAAATATTCGATGGTTGCACCTTAATTGTGAAGAGTTGATGCTTTCTTGTTTGTCATTTCCAATAGTAAACTGAATATATTTAACCACTATTTGTCACTACTAATAATATGAAATAAAATATAATGTAATAATAATACGAAAAAAGCTTTTTGTTTACTCAAATCAAATCATAAAAAGACAAATTAAACAAAAAGGTTTACTCTCTTAGAACTCATAGGTCATATTAAGCATCAGTTGTGACAACATTGTGCTCGCCAAGTTAAATGTTCACATCTGGAAACAGGATGTAACAGTATAATGAAGTCAGATGGGTCAAGAAACACGAGCAGTCAAACAATAAAACAGGTTGGAAACAAGCCACTTTACTCAGATTATCCAAACCACTTATTTGGAGGTCAAAATAAAAGTGAGCACACCTAAAATATTTGTAATAATCCCTATTCTGGAAAACTGTTATAACTTTACTACAGTAAGCAGGCTTAAGTAAATCAAAGTTAAAGCAGGAAGTTGGTCTGTAAACTGTGATGTTTACCGCAGACATTTTGGGTAATAATTTGACTTTCACCTTGGTGATCTGTGTGGTTGTATGCTCCTGTTTTGATGTTGTTCAAGAGACACATCACATGTTCCCAGATCTCAACTATATATAAGTATAATGTTTTTATTACTGAACAATGGCCAAAGTGAGAAAATCAATATGTAAATAAAATACATGAAACTGGACCAGTTTAGTTCTATTTCAGCTTCTCACATTTTTAATGACCTTTTATACATTAAACAACTGATCTAACGATATAAATAATACAAATAATTTTAGGTTGCAGCCCTAGCTCAGAATAAAAATAGATTTAGGTAAACCAACATCTTGTGGTGTACACACAATTGACATCCTGTTTTCTGTATAAATAACATTTCATTATATCTTTTTTTTAATCTCTGGAGTTTCTTGTTTATTTGGAAATTGGGAACACACCTTATGCATTTATATTTGCATGAAAAGACACAGGTGTGCGTTGCTTAATGTCATTAAGAGCAGATTCCCTTTTGTCAACATTTGCTCTTATTAAGACTCCAGTACCAAGGATTGGCTTCTTTATTAAAGATTGCATTTGACCTAACAGTCCAGAGCCTTTCTCAAAAACCAAACTCTGAACAAATAAATAACTTAAACTTCAAACTCAAAAAAGCTTATTCTGAGGTTTGTAACCCATCTGAATATCCAGGGTCCGGTTAAACAGCTATTGTTGTACCTAACAATCACACACTGTTGATAAAGCTTGGCAGATTACACAGAGGGACAATAAGGACAGCCGGAATGACCTGTTCTATCAGCTCATCCGTTCTTTTTATTCAGTCCATTACAGCTGTTTCTCCCGTGAGCCAGCGTCCTGCGCTGTCAGTTGCAGGATCGGCTGCACCGTCATCATTCAACTCAATGGGAGATGTGGACATGATCGGGGCTCTATGGGGGGAAATGAGTTGTCTGTGCTCCTCATTAGACTCACTGCAGTGGACTAAGAGGTAGTTAGCGCCGTCGTTAATGAGCATAATAATGTACACTGTAGTGTTCGGGGGTTGGTGGCGTTGCTGATACGAATGAGGCGGGAGGGGAAGATGTGAATATTAGCTGAGTTGTTGATGAGCTCAGTGTAAATGCAATGATGGGTGAGATATTGAATGTGGAGCAACTAGATGTGAAAGCATCTCCTGAAGCCATGCTTGATCATCTGTGTTGTTTTACATTGTCAGTGGTTGAACTCTTTTTAAGGGCATCAAGTCACAATACACAAGTAGATGACTGAAATGTACCAGCCTTACTACATGGTAGTTTTACTGTATACACACCTTGAGAAATCATCCGTGTTAAAATACATGGAGCACAATTGCCTACTTGAACATCCAGCAGACACATTATCATCATCATTTGTGTCCACCTGATGAATGTAAGTCTTATATTTGCACTCATCGTAGTCTGATCTCCACTTACTCCTGAGGGAAATGTCTGGCTCTTTAGATGTTCCACTTTCTTTACCAGCTAGTCTCTAACTGTGTTTGCTGTTTGGTGATGGGCAGGCAGTCTACAGTGAGTTTACTGGAGCTTGTTTGATGTAGACAGCTGCTTCTTCTGAACCAGACAGAAAATATCCTGCAAAACTAGAAGCTACAAGACACTAGAAAGCTCAGTAGAGCTGCAGATTTGAAGATAATTCTGAGTTTGTCATTAAACATGGTCATTTAATTTATTGTTAAGAAATATGGAGTAGTGAAGCTTTGTACTCAAGCTCAAGATGGATTTTTCAATGTCATTGTTTCGAACATTGCGGTGTGGCTGCTTATTAAAAGTATGTTGTTAACGCAGCTAGCTAACGCACTATTTTTGTATGGGGTTCAAACTGACATCAGAACTGACCAGTTCTAGTTACACCATATATCTATTATTAAATATACAGTTGTGCACTATTGAGCTAAAACTTGAAAAAAGGTGTCCGGAATCAATGCCAGGCAGAACTCAAAGGTGTTGTCAGTAATTCTGGAGAAAGATAGTTGAGTTTAATTCCCATTGTTGTTGTTGGGTTCCAAGCCTCTTTGTTTCCTATTTACCACCAAACCAAAGCGTTGGTATTTGACAAACTGGGAAACTCAACAATCAATCATTATTGCTCAGAATTTACATTGCATTGCTGCACACGACCCAATTTCTGCTATCTTGGGCATGTTGGTGTAGTAAACCTCAACCGCACGAACAACTTGTCTCTGCACCAGTCTTGACACATTCTCAACCAGGTCTCTTACACCTACCGTGAGCAGCAGACACTTGCTCTCTTTGTGGGCCCCACAACAGCCAAGAAGCCCCAGCAGCACCAGCACGACCCCGATGGCGATGCAGAAAAAGCCCACGTTGACGAACTGCATGGCTTGGCTAGAGAACGGCCCCAGCAGATGGAGGAAGGAGCCCCCGTCTACGCTCACCCAGATCCCCATGGCCAACAGGGTCAGGCCGCCCAGCTGCAGGAGGATCCAGGAAAACATCAACATACATTTTATGCAAGAGCATGTTGGCGGCACACAAATCCCCGGCATTTATGGAAGTGGGACATTGACCAGTCAGCTTTACCGGGGATGTAATCCACACTTAACAACGGCGAGTAAAATGTCAATCATTTGTTTGACTGGCAGTCCTTCAGGTGGGGTCAACAGCTCTCGGGAGGTAATAGGTTTTGAAAATGAGAGGCCATCTTACATCACTAACCCTCTCTTACTATTACCTTTTAGTGACACCATGACACACCTCAATATCGTTCTCTCCATTCAGAGAGCACGATTCCTTTTGCGAGGCAGGGAGAGGTGCTGCCCCAGGCTTCCCATTACGTATCGAGGCCAAGCAAGAACCTGGCCTCTTTCTACCTTTCTGAACGAAATGAATGCCCTTTTCCATGACGGCCGCTACCTCCCCACTCATGTCAGACAGGCATAATGGACACAAATCCATTTAGGGATCATCTTGTGCCAGTGGATAAAGTCAGCCTTGGGGTGTATACAAGCAGACTATGGGATTATAGCATGGACAGTCAAGAGGGAAGATGTCCTCTAAAGACACAGGAAGCTTTCTTTTGTCAGCTCGGCAACTAAATTCTGCAGGTTTAAGTGGGGACATAGTGACAAGGACTAGACAACCCATATTGAAAATCATGGTATAAAATATTTTAAAAAAGGAGGAAAATATAACCCTTTTATAATATAACACTTTTCAGAATAAAGGCTCCACTGCAGTTAAGGCTGACAAAGGCCACAAATTGATCATTTACAGTGATTAAACTTGCTTGGTGATCTCTGTCTCTTCGCCTTTTTGGTTTTCAATCATTTCATTAGGGGACACTGAAGTGCATTCATAGAAATCTATTGAGTCAAAACCTGTAAGACCTGCTCATAGCTGACAAAATCAGAACTATGTTACATGTTTCACATTACAGTCTGGAAATCACCTGATCCCACTGTCATTATCTCTCTCTGCCTCCTCGTCTGTCCACCTCCGACCCTCACTTCTTTTTCTTTTCCACCCTTTTATCCTCCTCTGTCCCCTCTGTGTATTTCACCCTGCACTCGTACTGAGTGATTTCTTCTTTCCTCCGACTCTGCAGAAACCATGTTTGAAACCTGATATTGTCTGTCAGGCTCCATCAGACTCATTGCAGTCGGGGGCCCCACTCTGCTCCACATCAGGCCCCTGACACTCCACATCTCCCGTCAGACGCTGACGTCTCCCACGTGGGATCCTTCTCCCCCCTCTTTTCTTTGTCTCTACCTTTCCCTGCCTTGGTCTTATCTATTTTTTATTCTTCATTCTTTCTGGGGTTTCCTTGTTCTCATCTCTTGAACCTGTTCAGTGCCATCACTTCACTGTTAGCTAAATGTGATACGACAAGCATATTCCCCCTCTAACTCCATGTGTGCCACCATCATCCCTCACCAGGTGTAATTATAGCTGGCACACTGTCTTTCCTTTTTTTTTAAGACTGCTAATCCCTTTAATGTTGTGCCATATGCAGGTGGATGTCAGTGGAACATCCACATGGAAAAAGGACTGGAAGTAAATCGGGTTTTGAAAGAGTAGGGGGAAAAGAAGAAACATCGTCCCATCTATGGAGATGGGAAATATAACCTATTATGGTTAGAGGGGAGGGAATGAATAACATGCTGCAGAATAGGAGGCCATGGCCTCCAGAGAGGGGGAGGTGAATGGAGAGAAGAGATAGAAAGATACAGAGGGAGCAGAAAAGAGAACGGGCCCGTCCCACCCCAATTGAAATGGAATTGGTTCTCTTTGAAAGGGCTGGAATGAGAAAGACGTCAGTTGAGTATAAAACCCATCTTCATGGGTCATATTACTGGGAGCAGACAATCTGATTAAGTCCTGACACTCGACCATGGATCTGCAGAGCATACATGGAGACACTTATAATTTCCAATGCATTTAGATCGGTTCCAAGGAAACGGCAAACCAAAGCCTCCCAAAAGAGGAAGGATGTACACAAAATCACAAGGTACCTTTTTGCATACTTACATACTACTGTTACAGTCCAGCCTCTAATGGGCTACATTTTAGTTTCAGATATTAAAAGATAAAATGATTAAAGAATTGAGAACAATCAATAACAGTGCATGCTTAAAATGACTACAGCTTCCTCAGCTTGTTTAGATAAAATTTGCGTGCTTTACTGAAAAATAAATCAAAAGTCATCTTAATTGCCAGTTTATACTGCAGTTTGGACAGCCCCCTCTAAAGGCACCTACTGTACAAGCTCATCACATCACTCGCCACACCAACTGAGTCTTGGTTGCAACCTGTGTGATGAATGCATGGGGAATTGTAAGACATGTTATTATGAAAAAACACGTCATCAAAAATTCTACACCCTCAAATTTAGGCTTTTATCCCATGTCTCACTTTCCACGTGTTGAGCCAATGTCCCACATTGTGATCAGTTCTAGTTTTCAAAAGTCAAATCACTGCAGGACAGATGCTTTTCTAAAATCTGGCTTCCATCCAATGGCTGTGAAGAAAGCATGGAAGGCTGTCATCACAGGGTTGAGTTTGATGTCAAACTGCACACACGTGGGTCAAGTGCAGGTTAATCTTTCACTGTCTTTGCTAAACTATGCCCAGCAGGGAAAATTGTGATCACCACAAACTCACAAGCTATGCAGATTTAAGCGGAATGTGATGGAAACTACCACAAAGGAAAGGACATGCATCTACAACAAAGACGTTATAAATAGAGATAATGATATAAAGGTTTTAGACCTCTCAGCATTGGTAACGTGTCCCACATTGTCCCACACAAACATACCCTTTGTCTCACAATTTGTTTGTTGAAGTCTGGTCACCCTACTGTTTGATTGAAATCTTTGTTGCCAATCAAGAATCGTTTCTCTCACTTTTCTCAGTCGGGGTCTTTTGTCGGGGACAGCTCAAAATCCGACAGTGTAAAGGTAGTTTCAACGTGACTTCCTGGCCTTTAACTGCAGGAGCGTGAAGCTTTAGTGAATGGTCATTAGGGAGAATTCAGTTCACCTGCTCTGACTGTTACCAATTCTCACCTTCCTTTAGCTTCCACCCTTTTGGCTTGGTTTGGTTCTCCTTTTTGCTTTTCTATTTTACTGAAGTAAACACATCTTACTGACAGTTTACGTGTGGTCTCCTCTCTTACATCCCAGAACAGACAAACCAACAGAGTATTCACCAAATGTACATATATTTATTACATATAAAAAAGAGAAAAGAATGATCTATAAAAAGTACTGATGCAAATGTGGAAATGGAAAAAATGTTACCATCAAAAATGTAATCCTATTAAATAATCTCTATTTTGTCTATTATATGTCTTTTTTTTCTGGAACTGTAATGGATTATAGTTACCTGTTTTTGTATCCTGATTATCCTGATTGTATCCTCAAGCCTGCAAACCTGCCTCTAGCAACGCCCGTAGCATTTTTCACAAGTTTTGCAGCCACCATAGCTTCTCCTACTCGCTTGAAAGGCTGAGCTGTATTCATCTGATTGCAATCTGCAGCTTCACTGCTAGATGCCACCAAATACTACCCACTGGTCCTTTAAGTACAACACTCAAGTAAACATACTTTGTTACTGTCCACCCATGGGGAATCAAGTTTCACATTCACATAAGAATATTGATTCTTACTTACTAAATAGATTTTTCTCCCCTGGCCCTATAGACAACACAGGTTATTTCCTCAAAAGATAACTCGTCTAAATGCAGATCTACGATGGTAACGTTGCAACACCAAACTTTAAAATGCAGCTGTGGTGGCTTTTAAAGTGTTTTAGCGTCCACATTAAAGCATCGTCTTTATGAGCTGAAGAGAGTCATTTTATCATGGGGGGGGGGGGTTTGGGGGAGCATCATAATCAGTGTGCTGCTGTGACTTTTAGAGCTGTCGCACCAGATTTATCAAGCAGCGGCACTCAGGCAGAAATGGGAAATGTGAGGAAAATGATGACATGTGCTGGGAGCTTCATCTGTGACAGCGGGAGCCCAGGTGGCCCGACTCGGCAGGCAAATTCAGCTTACCCTTGCCAAAGTTTCTCTCCATTTCACAAACCACATTAGATATCAACATTAAGCGGACAATGTAGGTGGCAAAATTAGAGCCTTTGAAGTTAATGAGATGAAAATTGCCGCGGTGGGGAGAAAGTGGAGGAGAGAGGAGCATCATTTAGGTCTTCTGGCTCAGTGATCTGAAATGTTTATGTAATGTCTGTTTGCATTGAAAGGCAGCGTGAAATAATTTTCTATGTGTTGAAAGCTATTGTTTGTTGTTTTTAATTCACACACGACTTTTCATGTAAAGCTTTCACACATTCAGTAACCGCCCCACCCTCACCCAAGACCCCAACCCCCTCTTCATATATGAGCGTGCAATCAAATCGGAAACATACTCACAAAGATAAGCAAGTTGAACAAGAACATCATCAATTTGACGAATGTGAAGCAGCCCATTTTTAATCTGTAATAAAAGGAGAAGATAAATTATAGCATTTCTTCTTTCATCAGCTTCTATCTCTCATTCACACACACACACACACACACACACACACACACACACACAGGGCAACAGAGTCTACGTGGCCAATCTTCACACGCATGCTGTGCTATTACATCCAGCTCACATCCCAGCGAAATTACTGTGAAAATTACATCGCTGACAATGAGTCTTAATGATAACACACACAGCTGTGAGAAACAGTAAAGATATCTGTTAATGGGAGATCTATAGGGGAAGGAAAGCCATTTCACAAAGCAGTGTTTACTTGTGGCAGAGACATTAAAGCACAGAGAATACAAATCTTACCCTGCTAGTCTTTCTTTATGTCCAAAGTAGAGCAGATTTAAACCAGTTCGTGCCCTGGGTTTTGGAAAGAAAAACTGACCAAAAAAAGCAACTTAAAAAAAGATCCTGCAGCTCAGGTGTTTCCAGGAGAGCCGAAGAGAGTGCAAAGATGACTAAATATATCTGTACAGTGCTTATGTCCACGCAGGTAAAAGCCTGTGGCGGAGATCAGAAATCTGATGAGTGCTTTTCCTCAGGCTTGCTGGTGGAGTGAGCCCAGGACTGGGTGTGGTCCCGGTGGATACAGGTGAATGTTGTTCAGGCACAGGTACAGAGGCTCGAGTGGCAGCTCTGACCCCTGCAGGTACACAGTGACACAGATTCACAGCACAGGGCCTCTTCAGGGGATTTGAGGGGTGGAAAGATGGACATCTAGAGTGTCTCTGCTATAGAGCTGTCAGATTCTGAAAGGACAAAAATAATCCTCAAAACTTGAGACAGGGGAGTCATATGAAGAGTGAGAGGTGAAGTGATATGTTGCACAGTATTTGTGAAGATGTAGTCATAACCTCTTAGTCTCTGAGTCTGTCAAGTTTGTCATTTCTTACAATGGTGTCATAATGTATGAAACAAGGACAGTAAGTACTCTTCAGTGTAGCTCTTTGAATTGTTCTCTTACAAGCCACGTGTTGTCACACTGGCTTGCATTTTGATAAGAAAATAATTAATTAAACTATCATTGGCAAAACCCCTCCATATCTCCACTCACTACTCAATATCTCCAACAGGGTTCCCACTCCAATCCTTTTCCAGAACCTTTCCAGGACATTTTACAGGAACTTACTTGACAATACAGGACAGCACTTGCTTCGTCATAACCTTGAGTCCTAGAATAATTTACCAACTGTGGTAGGCCAGGTATTGACACATTTAACTCCAGTTGTATTCCTCCTTCTTAAACGATGCAGGGTTCATGCTTTAGTGTCTCAGGTTCAGTACAGTTAAGTGGTCAACATGTGTGGGACACTCCGCCGTTCTCACAGCACAGCTGATATTTCTGCAGCATCTCCGGGGAAAACAACAATTATTTCCAGGATATTTGTTCATTTTAATTGGCCTACTGTATATATTGTCTATAGTGTATTATTGTTTTCTTACATCTTGTAATGCAAGAAAACAACATGTTTCTATGTTTTTAATTGCTTGTATTGCCTCCAGCCACTGCCTCTTGGCCTCATTGTAAATGAGAATTTGTTCTAAAAAAAACTAAACATATTACCATAGTAAGTTGTTGTGGATGTTTTTAAGTTAGCAACAGTTGGATTAACACAGATTCAGCAGACAGAGAGCAACATTATCGTCCCAGCTGATTGTTCACTAAAGCCCTCTCCTACACAGCAATTGCCCGACATTACGCCTGTCCATGACTGTCACATCCACTGTATCATATTTCCCAACTGTATGGAAGCTGTCCTGGATGCTATAAGAGTTATATTAGCTCTGTCCTGATCTGTGTGGAGTTTCACACTCCAACAACCCAAGCCAACATTACTTGAGATAGCATTACTGTTTCCACATATATCAGTTATTCTGCATCCTAAGAGACTTGAAAACTTTTCTAACACAATAATTCACAGTGAAGTGCATATTCTAAAACCCTCTGTACAGGATTCTCATCATAAAACAATTGGCTGTGAAAAAGTCTGCTAATATAAAAAGCTAATATTCTCTTGGTTGGCAAACAATAAAATAAAAAAATAAAATCTATAAGTGACTGTTTCACTGTCGTTTCACTTGATTGCCAGCTGAGAATACTAAGCTTGCTTTTGTCTACTTCTGTCTAAAATCAGAAACACAGAGTTTTACTAGTGCGTGTGTGTTTAAAGGCAATTATGTCGTTAATATGCAAAATAAAAAACATGTACACAAATATCACACTTTTTTTGTGTTTTAAAAAAGTAAGATAATGACACGGACTGTGCGTAGTTGGCTGAACACATGCTTTACATGACAAAAGATGGAGGAAAGTGTTTGCTTTAGCTGATCAGCATTAGCTGCTTCATTCATGCTTCACAATCACTGACTCATTCTTCAGCAGCTTAGCTACCAGCTGACGAGTGACGTCCAAACATATTCATAACAGTGTATGTTTCCCACTATTTATACATCAGTACCATGACAATTATTCTACAGGCCTATATTCAAACCCCTCTAGTTGTTTGTTCAGGTTTTCAGTAGATTATTGTACTATCGTTATATAAAGTACAGCAGACTATTGTCCTGTATAGTCTCTAATTGCTGCCTTATAATTACTTTATATTTATGTGTGAGCTTGAGGTTTGACCACAATTATCATGCATCCTGATTGTCTATTGTTTTATTTTAAGTCATCAAAGGAATAATCATTGTAGACTGAAATGCTCCACAATAATCCATATTAGCCAATGTTTCTATAAATCTTATGTATGCTCATAAAAACTGTCCACTGGGGAAACAATACTGCAACAGCATCCACTCTGGACCTTTGCCTCTGGGTCTGTGACTGCTTTCTGCTGTCGACTCTATTGTTCATCTTTACTTCCTTTGTTCCTCTGGCTCCTGAACGCTGCAGTTGCCCCCGCTGACCACCAGAGGGGAGTAGTGAACTGCATAGGGAGCTGTCATGAGCCTCCTCTCTTCCTTGTTGTCCTGCAGCTTCAACTGGTGATCAGTGCTCCTCTGAGTGGAGGAATGTGCTCTTCTTTGTCCAGGAGCAAGGGAAAGAAAATAATTAAAAACTAAACTAAAATACAAATGAGTTGCTCTTTGTGGGTTTTTTTTGTCATCACCATCTCATGATGCTTTAGTCACATTTCTAAGCCAAGTAGATTGTCTAAATAACAACAATCTAAAGCTCGAAGTAAAAATTTGATTACAGATGTTGTTGTTGCATACCTTGCATCCTTACAGCAGTATTTTATGGGTGAGGGGAGCAGCAGGAGATCTTCCTTTGTCTCGTCACTCGTTTCTCCCAAAGATTCTTCTTGAGTTGAAGCCCATTTACACTGAGCTTCAGGCAAGAGAAGAAAAAACGCTTTGAAAAATGGCAGAAGCCCTCCGCCCAATGCCACCTTCTTGGAGAGTTGAGCCCATATCAGCTGAAGACTTTCCCAGTAATATCACTTTAATGGCCTTATTGTGAGTTATGACAATCACACCCACACCGTCATTAACCCACCGGTCCTTAATCTCAGCGAGAGGAGCACCTGTCAGGCTTCGTTAGCCATTAAACCGTTAATAATCTCAGCCAGCGTGCAGGCACACACACACACTATGGCCAGGGCGCGTGGAAAAAGAAATGATTAGACGGGTGCTTTTTCATCACCTCTGATGAAGGCAGTGACGGGCCGCGGAGATCTCGGGTGAGATGGAGAAGGTAAAAAACAAGGGTCCCTTAATGAGGTCTGTTAGATTGAGTATTATCAGTGGCCCTCCAGGGCAGCTGCCACAGTTATACATCTACTGCTGCCGGGCGCTTGCCATTACATGTATACCTTGTAAATCCCATGTGAGCACTGATTCATTCTTTAACTTGATTTTAAGGTTGATATAATATCACCCAGTATGTGCTCAGCAGCTTTAATGGTCCTAATGCTCATTAAAAGCTCTTTTATCCTTGGTAGAGTTTCTGTGACTCATAGTAATCAGCCGGGGGAATGAGGAATCACTTTAGTTCATCACTCAGCAGCTATAATTTGTTGACGACACATGAAAATCTCTTATAACTCACATGTTGTCTGAAGTTGTTTCAGTATCCTCCTGGAGCCACATCCTTCACATATATTTTATAATCTTCATGTGTCAGAAATTTCTATATAATGGAGAGTTCTGTCCATCTATTGCATGTCTGTCTGTCCTGGGAGAGGGATCCCTCTGTGGTTCTTCCTGTTAAATGTTTTTTTTGGGGGGAGTTTTTCCTTACCTAAATCAAGGGTTTAATTGTAAAGCCCCCCGAGGCAAACTGTGATTTTGTGGCTATATAAATAAAATTGGACTTGACTTGACATGCTTTTGTCACTGCAATCCATTTGTTTGAAACCTGAATTAATTATTCACATGAATAATTCATACCTGAAAACTGCAAATGATACCCTGAAACTGCAATCAATATACTTGCTTAGGTTTCATCCTTCAAAATTAGTGCCTTTGAATTTCTCATTAATTATTATTTTGCCTTTATTAGAACTGACAGTAGAGAGAGGGTGTAGATGGGGAATGACATGCAACACAGGTCCCCAGATGGACCAGATGGAGCCAGGGGTGTTGCTGTTCTTGGTTGGCACCTTACATCCATTAGCTACCAGGGTGCCTTTAAACTCATGAAGGGCATCATGTGTACACCGCTGGTGTATGATGCACATCTAAACACCCCAACCCATTGAAGCCCACACATCATAACTTGTCAGAATTCACAATTGTTGCTTCATCTCTCTAGTAAAATGAAAAGATAGTCACATTCTGAATACAACCCAACTACAACTTGTCCAGTTGTTTAGGGGGATGGTGGGCCTACAAAGAGCAGGACATCCACACGTGGTTAGGTTAAAGGAGGGTCATAAAAGGATTTTAAAGAATTCTGATTCACAAAATTATTTATTGCTGCGACTCTGAGAGGAGAAAGTCCCTATTCGATTAAATTACTGACACCTGACACCATAGACATGCATCCTATCATGAGGGGTCACATTAAGATGAGGGTGTCAAACTCAAACTGGCTTGGGGCCACTGCTGGTATTGTCATCTCATAGAAGGGCCACTTCAACCTTCAAGTACTACAAGAAAGCGTATTATTCTGAAAATAACAATTAATGAAAGCCTGAAACCTGCTCTCTTATCAACTGCGTGCATTTGCAGGCACCTCTGACTTTGCCATTATTTTGTGCCACACGAAAAGTTAATAATAATTTGCGGGAGACAAGTTCATCTAATCATCTTTCTTGTGGAATTTGTCAGTAAAAAACAACACAGCTGAGGGAAAGAACTGTGTAAGGAAAGCTCAGACTCATAATCTGTCAAAGATTTCCCCTGAGCTGTGTAGCAACCCTCTCACGTCCCCGTTATGTGCTTTGTGCTGAATGTAAAAATCACGGTTGTTTTTCTTCGTTAGCTCTGAAAAGTTGACACTGTGGAGATGAGAGGTTCTCACCTGACCACGATGATACAGTGTGTGTGCAGCGGGGCGCCGACAGGCCCTCTGTCAGACATTTTCTGATATAGACCGCAGAGTTCATG